TGATTGCAAACTATTGTAGCTCTTTGAGCTCTTAGGAATATAGGAAGCTGTTTTATACGGAGTCAGGCCAATGCTCTGCATGAGAGACTGGAGTTCAGTATTATACCCTACAGGGGTAGCAGTGTGTTGCCCTCTAAATGTTGCTAGACTACAACTCCCATCATCTCTGACCATGCTGGCTGGGGCTGATGGGAGTTGGCAGCAGCTCTCCAGAGTGGTAGGCAGGGGTCTTTCTGATCCCCACCTGGAGACGCTGTGGATTGAATGTAGCACCTTCGGCATGCAAGGCCCTCTTCCAGTGGTGTAGCATGGGTTGCCAGTGCCCGGGATGGGGTAAGTGTTGGACCTCCCGGTGGACTGGGCAGCTGGGGTATTCAGAAGAATTACTGACTCTGACCATGAAGGCAGAGCATAGCCATCATAGCTAGTAGCCCTTAATTTAGCAACGCTATTCCCACCCTCTAAATATGTGGTTACGCTTGGAGGCTGAAATTTTCCCCAATCTTGAGCCCCACTTGTGTTCCAGGCTGCACTTGCAGTTTACATGCTCACAGGTTGTCCCATTCATTTCTATGGAGAAAGCAAACCCGCTTTTCTTTATGCATGTGAACCGGATGCAGAAATCTTGGTGAGCACTGGAGCCCTCACTCACACCGGGATTGAAGCACAAGTCAGCAGATTCCAAATGTAAGGATTTAGGAGTCGATGCTATTTTACACGGGGCACACTCACTCAACAATCGGGAAACGCTTGCCTACGAGCGCTCCAACTGGAGAACAGCCTTTACCAAAGATGTAATGGGTTTTGAAGACACTTGAACTCAGGACGCAAGGGAGAAACGTGCTAAGAGGAAGGCACGCTTGGCAAATCCACACCGTGATCAACTCCCGCCCGGAAACCAATGTCCCCACTGTGGAAGGACGTGTGGATCCAGATTTGGCCTCCACAGTCAGTTACGGACTCATGAATAAAACCATATTTATGGAAGACAATCTTACTCGGCTAGGAGTGATCACCAAAGAAGAAGAAGAAGAAGAAGAAGAAGAAGAAGAAGAAGAAGAAGAAGACACACAGGGCACAGTAAAAAGGTAAAGGGTAAAGGGACCCCTGACCATTAGGTCCAGTCGTGACCAACTCTGCGGTTGCGGCGCTCATCTCGTTTTATTGGCCGAGGGAGCTGGTGTACAGCTTCCGGGTCATGTGGCCAGCATGACTAAGCCGCTTCTGGCGAACCAGAGCAGTGCATGGAAACGCCGTTTACCTTCCAGCTGGAGCGGTACCTATTTATCTACTTGCACTTTGATGTGCTTTCAAACTGCTAGGTTGGCAGGAGCTGGGACCGAGCAACAGGAGCTCACCCCGTTGCAGGGATTCAAACTGCTGACCTTCTGATCGGCAAGCCCTAGGCTCTGTGGTTTAACCCACAGCGCTGAGTCCTTGGTGGTTATATCTGCACAATATACATAACTGTCAAAACTTGTTTGCACATTTCACATTTTTAGGTGTATACTTTGATTATACACACACGCACATGGGTGCCAGCCTGAATAAAATAGGGGGGGGACAGGTAAGCCGTGCCCCACGTAATCAATCACAAGACACAGTGCACGCACACTATTTGAATGGCAGTGCTCATCAACTTGTGGGGGGCCTGTCCCCTTCCATGTACACACATGCACACATCCGTGTAAAAATATACTGCATGAAAAGTGGCACATAATTTCCAAGAGAAGTGAAACTAACTTTGATGCGTCACAGTACACGCTGGTTAATCCCAAATATAGAAACATTTCAAAAGTATGTGTCTGACACAGGGAATCCCAACTTCAAATTCCAGCTCAGCTATAGGCTTGCTTTCATGTCTCTGCCCCTTGGCAAATATATCTGCAAAGTGTACAAGCCCACCTTTTTATTTTAACTAGTCCACCTGTCTAAACATCCCTGTTGGCTATTTCCAACTTAAAAGAAATAGGGAACCGTTGTAGGGCTTCACTGGGGAATCATTACTTGCCATAGGTGAGTGGAGAAGGATTTATTTACAAACCAGCAATTAGAGTTCTTAACTCCCACTAGCCTTAATGGGATTTAAACAGCCCTACGTTGAGATCCAGCTCTATTTTTGTCTCCTCCATGTTATTAAGAAATTTTCTTTTTTGAACGCTTTCTGCCATTTTCCGTTCTTTTGTGCTCCTTCCCATGACAGAACATTTGATTACCTTCAGTTGCTTTCTTTCTTCCCAAACAAAAGCCTGTAATTTCAACTGTCAGTGACCGCCCCCCCCCTTAGAAAATTCCCCCTGCAATTTTTCCTCTTTCGGCAAAAATAATGCGGCTTGTACAAAATGACAAACTTTGTGGGTGCTTTTTTTCCGGTACAAATTTAATAAATATAAAACGCATTTCCGTGCAAAATAATTACATTTCTGAAGCAACTTGAGGTTTTTTCTGTGTGAAATTAGTTTACATGTCTTTCACATAGGTTTAACTCAGCTGCCCTGTCGTGGATATATCTTGAGCAGGAATAAATGTTTCTGATGGATGAATGGCAAGGGAGATTAATTCTTTCGGGGTGACAATACAGCTTGGAGTTGGATTAAAATGGACAAGTCCTCCAACCCCAATTCCATCCCCCCAAAACTGGCAGTGTTACATGCATCAGGGCATCCCGTCTGCAAGCTGCTCATGTGCACAGGCCTGATCCTGCACAGGAAAACTAATGCACACAGTGTATGCAGTGTGCAAACAGCCCTGCCAGGCCTCTAAGCCAGTGTGGTGTAGTGATTAAGAGCGGTAGTCTCGTAATCTGGTGAACCGGGTTCGCGTCTCCGCTCCTTCACATGCAGCTGCTGGGTGACCTTGGGCCAGTCACACTTCTTTGAGGTCTCTCAGCCCCACTCACCTCACAGAGTGTTTGTTGTGGGGGAGGAAGGGAGACGAGAATGTTAGCCGCTTTGAGACTCCTTAAAGGGAGTGAAAGGCGGGATATCAAATCCAAACTCTTCTTCTTCTTCTTCTAAGCTTGGCTCACCGGGTTGTTTGGGGCAAACCTATATTTCCTGGACCTGACATCACATATGACCTCTGGAAGCTTCAAGGTGTGGCTGAAAGGAAGAAGAATCAGGAGTGCCCTTAAAATGAGCCCCTGATTCTTCCTTAACAGTCATGGCTTGAATTCAAACCAGGCGTGCAAGGAAGCATTTCCCCTTTGCAACCCAGCTTGGAAGTACAGTGGTACCTCGGGTTAAGACCTTAATTTGTTCCGGAGTCCGTTCTTGACATGAAACTGTTCTTAACCTGAAGCACCACTTTAGCTAATGGGGCCTCCCGCTGCTGCCGCGCCGCTGGAGCACGATTTCTGTTCTCATCCTGAAGCAAAGTTCTTAACCCGAGGTAATATTTCTGGATTAGCGGAGTCTGTAACCTGAAGCATCTGTAACCCAAGTTACCACTGTACAGGTAGGCAGAGCCCTTCTTGTCCAAGGCAACACATTTTATCTGGGAAGCCTCTGGGGGTGAAGGATGAGGCCAGGGAGTTGCTAGTGCCTATTATACGGGAATGTTTGACGGAGCTCACCTGTTTGCTCATACTGTGCAGCACGATTGTATTAATTTTTTTTTAAAAAATTCACACACAGCCAGGGTTATTTTGTAGGGCTTTTAGTAGGGGAGTTGGGTTTAAATGCAACACAGAGAAAATAACACTTTTGCCTCTTCCTAACCATCCAGATGGGACGCGGGTGGCGCTGTGGGTTAAACCACAGAGCCTAGGACTTGCCGATCAGAAGGTCGGCGGTTTGAATCCCTGCGACGGGGTGAGCTCCCGTTGCTCGGTCCCTGCTCCTGCCAACGTAGCAGTTTGAAAGCACATCAAAGTGCAAGTAGATAAATAGGTACCGCTCTGGCGGGAAGGTAAACGGCATTTCTGTGTGCTGCTCTGGTTCGCCAGAAGCGGCTTAGTCATGCTGGCTGCATGACCCGGAAGCTGTACGCTGGCTCCCTCGGCAAATAAAGCAAGATGAGTGCCGCAACCCCAGAGTCAGTCACGACTGGACCTAATGGTCAGGGATCCCTTTACCTTTAAGCATCCAGACAGCCTTCCATGCTCATATACGTCTATACACCCCAGGCTTAAATTCCGGTGGCATAGAACAATTGTCTACATGTGCGTGTGAATCTACAGTGGTACCTCAGGTTACATACGCTTCAGGTTACAGACTCTGCTAACCCAGAAATAGTGCTTCAGGTTAAGAACTTTGCTTCAGGATGAGAACAGAGATTGTTCTCCGGCGGCGCGGCAGCAGCAGCAGGAGGCCCCATTAGCTAAAGTGGTGCTTCAGGTTAAGAACAGTTTCAGGTTAAGAACGGACCTCCGGAACGAATTAAGTACTTAACCTGAGGTACCACTGTACTCCTGTTCTTGCAAGTCTGTGCCTCTTCTGCTCTCTCTTTCCTTTTGTAGGCACATATGCGTGATGCAGACAGAACACACACACACACACACAGAGATCCTATAGGCCTAATCTAAATACCGGCTTATGAATGGTCCTTAAACTGGTGTTTCCAAGGCAGCAGGCCCTTCGGCAGAACAGCTGTGCTCTTTCCCAGCAGGATCCCTCCCCATTTTTCAGGCGTTGGTGGCGAGACGGGCTGGCGTCAGGTTACAGATCCAGGGGGTATTTATATTAATGCATGTTCTCGGAGAAGTGGGTGTTTCTTCTCCCTCCCTTCCCCCCGCTCACCCCGCTTTTCGTTGATAGAGAAAACAATTTAAAGACGCCCGAAGCAAGTCATCTGTTCCATGAAATTCTCCTGCAAAGGATCGATCCCAGCCAGGGGGGCTCTAGACCAAATCCTCTTGGCTGGGTTTCAAACAAAGTTTGCTGCAGCCACAGACAGAGGCCAGGACTAGCACACTGGAAGTGGAAGAAGTGACCTTGAACTTTCTTGCCGAGCCAAACAGTCAGAAATTTGATCCCTGGTCCCAGAGCTGGTCCCTGCAGTTACGAGTGCTGTTTGGGTTTGTCGAAGGAGTCGCTGAGTTTTTTCAGTGTCTTTTTAATCCTCAAAGCTGTGAGTCGGGCTGGGGGGCTCTGGAACCAGCATTCCTTCATGATCTTGGCCAGGGCGGACAAAGTCTGGGAGGCAGGGGCGAGGGGAGACAGAGGGAGAGAGAAAGGGGAGGAGGAGGAATATTATTTTCACACAGGAACAACTGCACTTGGGCAAAAAAAACGAGAGGCACAAATACAAGATGGGGGACACCTGGCTTGAGAGCAGTACATGTGAAAAGGATCTAGGAGTCTTGGTTGACCACAAACTTGACATGAGCCAACAGTGTGACGCGGCAGCTAAAAAGCCAATGCAATTCTGGGCTGCATCAATAGGAGTATAGCATCTAGATCAAGGGAAGTAATAGTGCCACTGTATTCTGCTCTGGTCAGACCTCACCTGGAGTACTGTGTCCAGTTCTGGGCACCACAGTTCAAGAAGGACACTGACAAACTGGAACGTGTCCAGAGGAGGGCAACCAAAATGGTCAAAGGCCTGGAAACGATGCCTTATGAGGAACGGCTAAGGGAGCTGGGCATGTTTAGCCTGGAGAAGAGGAGGTTAAGGGGTGATATGATAGCCATGTTCAAATATATAAAAGGATGTCACATAGAGGAGGGAGAAAGGTTGTTTTCTGCTGCTCCAGAGAAGCGGACACGGAGCAATGGATCCAAACTACAAGAAAGAAGATTCCACCTAAACATTAGGAAGAACTTCCTGACAGTAAGAGCTGTTTGACAGTGGAATTTGCTGCCAAGGAGTGTGGTGGAGTCTCCTTCTTTGGAGGTCTTTAAGCAGAGGCTTGACAACCATATGTCAGGAGTGCTCTGATGGTGTTTCCTGCTTGGCAGGGGGTTGGACTCGATGGCCCTTGTGGTCTCTTCCAACTCTATGATTCTATGATTCTATGAACATTCAACTACTATAGGTTTTCCTCTAGTATAATTTTACATGCTCAGAATCCTGTATATGTAGAACGTTGGTTAGGGATGCGTGGAACCCTCTTCCCCACCACTCCCAAATTTCACTAATCCATACCCTCCATTGTCCAGGTAATCCAAATTGGGACGCTCATTTTATTTTCATGGTGGTGGGGGATGAGTGTTCAGACCCCTGGGCCCTCACTTGTGGGGTGCCTCAGGGTTCCGTCCTCTCCCCCATGCTTTTTAACATCTATATGAAGCCGCTGGGAGAGATCATCGGGGGTTTGGACTGGGTGTTCATCAATATGCAGATGATACCCAGCTCTACCTCTCTTTCAAATCAGAACCAGTGAAGGCAGTGAAGGTCCTGTGTGAGTGCCTGGAGGCGGTTGGAGGATGGATGGCGGCTAATGGATTGAGGTTGAATCCTGACAAGACAGAAGTACTGTTTTTGGGGGACAGGGGGCGGGCTGGTGTGGAGGATTCCCTGGTCCTGAATGGGGTAACTGTGCCCCTGAAGGACCTGGTGCGCAGCCTGGAAGTCATTTTGGACTCACAGCTGTCCATGGAGGCACAGGTCAATTCTGTATCCAGGGCAGCTGTCTACCAGCTCCACCTGGTACGCAGGCTGAGACCCTACCTGCCCACGGACTGTCTCGCCAGAGTGGTGCATGCTCTAGTTATCTCCCGCTTGGACTACTGCAATGCGCTCTACGTGGGGCTACCTTTGAAGGTGACCCGGAAACTACAACTAATCCAGAATGCGGCAGCTAGACTGGTGACTGGGGGCGGCCGCCGAGACCACATAACACCGGTCTTGAAAGACCTACATTGGCTTCCAGTACGTTTCTGAGCACAATTCAAAGTGTTGGTGTTGACCTTTAAAACCCTAAACAGCCACGGCCCAATATACCTGAAGGAGCGTCTCCACCCCCATCGTTCTGCCCGGACACTGAGGTCCAGCGCCGAGGGCCTTCTGGCGGTTCCTTCATTGCAAGAAGCAAAGCTACAGGGAACCAGGCAGAGAGCCTTCTCAGTAGTGGTGCCCGCCCTGTGGAATGCCCTCCCATCAGATGTCAAAGAGATAAATAACTACCTGACATTCAGAAGACATCTTCTGGGAAGTTTTTAATGTGTGACATCTTAGTGTATTTTTGGTCTTTGCGGAAGCCGCCTAGAGTGGCTGGGGAAACCCAGCCAGATGGGCAGGGTACAATAAATAAATAAATAATAATAATAATAATAATAATAATAATAATAATTATTATTATTATTATTATTTTGGTCCCGAGCTCTTGTAGGAACCAAATGACTCACGCCAGAGGTCAAGACAAAAAAACGAACATCTTTTGGTCCAGCGTTCTGGTGCGAACCAGCTGACTTGCACCAGAGTGCTGGACCAAAAAAAAAAAGAAAGAAAGAAAGAAAGAAAAAAGACATTCCAGGATCCAATCAGAAGCCAAGAAAGGTTTCTATAATTCCAGGATGCCCCACTTACATTGGTTTGAGTGGTATGCTAGTCACACCAAACCTTTTTTTTCTTCTCTCAACATGCTTTAGATGTTTCTCCTGAGTGGGAAACTCCCAAATTACCGCAGCATTTCATTTTAGATAAAATTAGGTGGCGACTCCAATCCCAGTTCTGGTCACGTCTCATAGAGCAATAGGCCAGGACATTGTATTTTGGGAAAATTGAGACGGCAGATGGAAACTGTGCTTGGTTGCTGTTTAAGGAGCATGTCCACCCTCACCGTTCAGCTCGGACACTGAGATCCATCTCTGAGGGCCTTCTGCTGGTTCCCTCACTGTGAGAAGTGGAGCTACAGGGAACCAGGCACAGGGCCTTTTCGGTAGTAGCACCCACCCTGTGGAACACTCTCCCATCAGATGTCAAGAAGATGAGTAACTTTTAAACTTTTAGAATACAGCTGAAGGTATGGGGAAGCCTTTTAATGTGTAATGTTTTATTATGTTTTTATATATGTTGGAAGCTGGGTGAGTGAGAAGCTCTTCCAAGGCCCAACCTGGCCACCTGCTGGCACTGGACTTAAACTTTAGCAATGATAGGATCCTACAAACCTATGATTAGATGTTTTGCATTTATTCAAAAGGTCCCGGGTTCAGATTTGGCTGCTCCAGGCAGGGCTGAGATACACTCCTATCTGAAACGCTTCAAGTTAGAGTAGAGGCACATGGACTAATAGTGCGACTCAGTACACAAGCTGGTTTCTGCGTTCCGAGAAACAGTTTTTGCCTCTCATTTGCAGACAGGAAAAGGGGAGGCCCGGAAAAATTACACCTATAAAAGCAGCCAGGAGACTAATTTGCACACGGCTGTATTCCAAGGGAAGGGGCTGAGGGGTGTGTGTGGGATTTTCAAATAGGGTTCCAGTTGAAGTGGCAGTTAAATGTGGCTCAGTCTTCATGAGGAAGCTGGATCTCTGAAGACTGAGGGAGACTCTCAATTTAACCGATGCGGACAGAAATATCTTTTTTCTGAGCGAGCCAGAGTAATTGATGCCATCTCTGCAACACTGGGGCCATCTCTCTACACATCCAATAATTCTCAGGGGGGAACTGCTTGGAAGCTTTCTAAGCATTCAGCCTAGGGTGTTGGAAAGTGAGAACAATGTGCAGATATCCGTACATAGCAGCACACTTCGGGTGTGTGTGTGTGTGAGGGTCCCATATGGACAGCAACAGCAAAAATGCCAGGGAGCTGGAAATAAAATGTCCACCCCACACCTCACTGACTCTCTGCGGGGTCACAATGCCCAGAGGGGAGCTGGGAGCTATCATGGCTTTTGTGTTGTTTGTAATCTGCCTTGGAGATCATTAAAATGAAATGCAGAGTATACCTCTTAAAGATAAAGATAAAGATAAAGATAATTTATTATTTATATCTCGCCCATCTGGCTGGGTTTCCCCAGCCACTCTGGGCGGCTCCCAACAGAATACTAAAAACACAATAAAAGATCAAACATTAAAAACTTCCCCAAACCAGGGCTGCCTTCAGATGTCTTCTAAAAGTTAGATTGTTGTTTATTTCCACAGGGCGGGCACCACCACCGAGAAGGTCCTCTGCCTGGTTCCCTGTAACCTCACTCCTTGCAGTGAGGGAACCGCCAGAAGGCCCTCGGAGCTGGACCTCAGTGTCTGGGCTGAATGATGCGGGTGGAGACGCTCTTTCAGGTATACTGGGCTGTGGCTGTTTAGGGCTTTAAAGGTCAGCACCAACACTTTGAATTGTGCTCGGAAACATACTGGGAGCCAATGTAGGTCTTTCAAGACCGGTGTTATATGGTCTCAGTGGCCACTCCCAGTCACCAGTCTAGCTGCTGCATTCTGGATTAGTTGTGGTTTCCGGGTCACCTTCAAAGGTAGCCCCACGTAGAGCGCATTGCAGTAGTCCAAGCGGGAGATAACCAGAACATGCGCCACTCTGGCGAGACAGTCTACGGGCAGGTAGGGTCTCAGCCTGCGTACCAGACAGAGCTGGTAGACAGCTGCCCTGGACACAGAATTAACCTGCGCTTCCATGGTCAACTGTGAGTCCAAAATGACTTCCAGGCTGCGCACCTGGTCCTTCAGGGGCACAGTTACCCCATTCAGGACCAGGGAATCCTCCACACCTGCCTGCCCCCGTCCCCCCCAAAACAGCACTTCTGTCGTGTCAGGATTCAACCTCAATCTGTTAGCCGCCATCCATTCTCCAACCGCCTCCAAACACTCACACATAACATTCACTGCCTTCACTGGTTCTGATTTGAAAGAGAGGTAGAGCTGGGTATCATCTGCATACTGATGAACACCCAGCCCAAACTAAATGGAAGATCAACTGAATCCCCCCCTCCTTTTCTCTGCTGTTTGGATGTGATCTGCAGTTGCCCAAATTTCACATGAACACTTGGCAATAAAAATTGCTACTAACTCAGGCCAAGCCTTGGAACAGAATGAGTTAATGGTTTCCGCCTTCTTCTGTGGATTATGCTGCCTTGGATGGTCATAAGTATGGAAAAGGTCTTTCGTAACCCATTCTGGATCCCACCCCTCTTTCATATATTCATTCAATACCCTATTTGGATGGCTTTTTCTCTCATATTTCTGGATCTGCTATAATGACTCAAGAGTGTACTGATACTTTGATATATGTTGTCCTTATTGTGCAAGAATGAACTGTATGAAAATAACTTTTTGGGAGCTGAACATAAAAATCCCACAAAGTATGAATTAATCCCACAAAAGCTTTATATCATGAATGTAGGCAAATTAACACTGGAATAACATTTTAAATATTCATTTTAATCTCTTTTTTTGGTATATGTTTTATGTTCTGTACATCTGTGCGTCTATAGACCACTGAAGAAGACTTATGGTTGAATTGCATTTGGTTTAGTTATGCTCAGGCTGAGTTGCATTTTTAAAATGAGAATTTAAAGGTTTTGTTAGTGTTAATTTGTTCATGATACAAAATTTTCACATACTTAGTTTATATCGTATTACTTTGTAGAATTTTATGTTCCGATCCCAATGTTTCTTTTTTTTCTTTTGCTGGGACATATTTTCTTTTTGTCGGGTTTAGTTTGTGTGGCAATAAGTTCCTTTACAGGCTTGGCATCAGTACTAATATTCCCTGGGCCCCCAGCACCTGGTGCCATTCGGTTTCCCACCCCCCCACTTGCCAAAGCAATGCTCAGGAGAACGGTGGGAAATTAAAATGGTGGCTCAGTCCACCCAGCGCTGATGGCAGCCTTGCCAGTCTTTTGTCAGTGGCTTGTCCATAGCTGTCAACTTACAGATTTGAAAATAAGGGACCAGCAGCCTCGAAAATAAGGGATCAGCAGCCAAAATAAGGGATTTTCCAAGCACAGGTATGTTCAACTTCTGAGCCCCTCCAAGCCAAAGGCAGAAAACCCAGCCAGCAGCCAAACAAAGCCTCAAGCGGTGGTTCCCACAGCGCAGCAACCCGGCAAAGGGGATGCAGCAAGGAAAACCACCTCTCCACTGGGAAGCGCTGAGCAAAGGCGAGTCCCCAGGCAACGCGGCCGATTTGATCTGCACAAGGCATGCAAGCTCCACCCCCCCGTCGTTCTTAGACTCCTTATTGGGAGAGCAACGCAGCCAAGCAACACAGTTGGAGCCTCCCTCCTCCCTGGCCAGCAGGGAGGGAGGGAGAGGAGCTGCTTCCTTTGAAACCCGGGAAATTTAAGGGACATCATCAATAAGGGACAGCAGTGGGACACGGTGCTGGGATAAGGGACTTTCCCGCCAAATAAGGGACGGTTGACAGCTATGGGCTTGTCGCTGACAGGAAAGCCGACCTGGGCTTACCAAAAGGCCCTTTGCTGAAGTCCCCCTCAAACCCAGTGCCAACGTTACTTCTTTCATCTGTCTTCTCTTCATTCAATCTTATATGAATTTTCTAAAAAAAAGCAGCTCAATACTATTCATGCTTACTCCGATGGAAGCCCAGCAACAATTTGTACTCCTAAGCAGATGTATTTCTGGTGTCGCACAGCTTCAGTTCACACTTCTGGTCCGAAGCGTACAAAGAAAACAGCGACACACTTTTTAAATCCCCATGTTGAACCTGATCCATTAGGTTTGCAGACTTTGTGTCTGTTCACAGTGAAAAAGCAGGAAGAACTGGTGGCAGCACTTGCATTTTTTCCCTCCTGGGTGTGTGGTGGAAGGGTTATACAACTGCTTCGCCATGATAACAAATCTAAACAAAGCTCAGGGAAGGGTGGTGGAATGCAGTCCTGCAATGAAAAATCTGGATCTGTCTGCATAAGGAAGCAGACACACAATTCCTTTACCAGATTCTCATGGGTGAAAAGCCTCAAGCCACACTCACTTAGCCTATCTCCTGCAGGCACCTTAAATGTGGATTTGTGAATCAGTTCACATTGTGATTTTTTTAAAAAAAAAATTCCATGCTATAGGAAGCTGAAACGTTTCCCTTATAGGCTAGTGTTACGGGTATCAGGGGGTTGCTCGAGAGCAATAAGACAAATGCCTCCCTGGTCTGTTGTAAAGCATTGTTAAAAGGTAAAGGGACCCCTGACCATTAGGTCCAGTTGCGACCGACTCTGGGGTTGCGGCGCTCATCTCGCTTTATTGGCTGAGGGAGCCGGCGTACAGCTTCTGGGTCATGTGGCCAGCATGACTAAGCCGCTTCTGGCAAACCAGAGCAGCGCACGGAAATGCCATTTACCTTCCCGCCGGAGTGGTACCTATTTATCTACTTGCACTTTGACGTGCTTTCGAACTGCTAGGTTGGCAGGAGCAGGGACCGAGCAATGGGAGATCACCCCGTCGCGGGGATTCGAACCGCCGACATTCTGATCAGCAAGTCCTAGGCTCTGTGGTTTAACTCACAGTGCTACCCGCGTTCCTAGATTGTCCATGATAGCTGGGGCTAATGCAAGTTGGAGTCCAATAGCATCCTGGAGGTTGCCCATCTCTTACTTGCACAAAGCAACCGAAACCTGGTTTTCATGTATTCACAGTGTGTACACTTTTAATTCTTATGCTGCGGAGTATAGGGTCAGGTTCAAGGTGTTGGTCTTGACCTTTAAAGCCCTTTGTGGCTTAGGGCCCTCGTATTTACCGGACCGCCTCTCCTGGTATGCCCCACAGAGGACCTTAAAGTCCATGAATAACCATAGTTTAGAGGTCCCGGGCCCTAAGGATGTCAGACTATGCTCCACCAGGGCCAGGGCCTTTTCAGTGATTGCTCCGACCTGGTGGAATGCTCTGTCCCATGAGACCAGGGCCCTGCAGGATTTAACCTCCTTCCATTGGGCCTGTAAGACAGAGCTATTCTGCCTGGCCTTTAATCTGAATTCAGCCTGATCTTTTATTTCCCTTCTCTTCCCTCCCCCTCCCCTTTTATGAAGATTACCTGCTCTGAGACCCCACAGCTAATTCTCCCCTGGCCCCCTCGCTGGCCCAAGTAGGACCAATTCAGCCAGCTAGCCCTGGGGATTATCTAATGCTTATTTCCCCTAAATTGATTTTTGAATTTTATTGTTATTCATGTTTTTATACTGTATTTTATGCTGCTTTTACAATTAAGTGTTTTAAATTTGTTGTTAGTTGCCCTGAGCCTGGTTTTTGAACCGGGAAGGGTGGGGTTTTAATAAAATTTTATTATTATTATTGTTGTTGTTGTTGCTGCTGCTGCTGCTGCTGTAGAGGGCAGAACCACTCTGAGCTTGAGCCTTATCTCCCGACCACCCAAAGTCCTGGTCATCCTCTCTCTGAGCTCCTGAGATTCCACCCGGCAATGCCCACACAGATTCATATTGTTATCTTTACAGCAAGGCATTTCCTTATTTAATTAACTGGAAAGATAAGTGGAGATCACCAGGGATGCAAATGTTGTATCCTAATGCCACAGGGTGATTGCAAATCTACATATTATAGATTTGGCAGGGGGACCCCCCCAAAAAACTCTAGAAATTAATAAATGGTAGGATTTTGACTATCTGGGATGTGAAGGGAGAAATGTGAGCTGCAGAGGAATTATTGGGCTAGCTCATGCAAAAAAACCAAAAACACTAGGGCCATTAAGAAACAATACAGGGCCATTGAGGACCATTGGCAATGCAAGAGAACTGTCCCCATCCCCTTGCCCCAGGTGTGAACAGAGACGGGGTTCGGAAGGTTGCCAGAGTTAATTGGGTGTGAGGTGACAGGAAAAGAGAGTCTTGAGCAAGCGTTGCTGGGAAGAAGGAAGAAAGACTGGGATCCATCTTGGGCAGGCTGGCTGAAGGCTGCCAGGCAGAGATACCTTGGACTCTAGGGTTGCACTGCTGTGGGGTGCAAGCCCCTCTTGAAATGAGCGTGTTGTAAGAGCTGGACTCCCTCCATGGAGACTTAAGGTGTAAATAGGTGGATCAATCATATTTCTTAAAGCGACAACAGTCTCTGCCGTGTCTCCGTTCTCCCAAGGACCACAGACCCTGCGTGAATGCCTGGAACCCCCTGGAATCTTGCTGCAACTCAGCAGAGAGGAGGGGAGGCACCCAATTTTTGTAACATACACAACACAGAATGCTCTGCCTAAACCAGATCTGCCTTAGGGCAGCAGGTTGGGGGATGCTGTGGCCCTCCAGCTGCTATTGGACTCCCATCTGCCCTAGCCAGCATGGCCAATGGTCAGTGATGGTGGGAGCTGGAGTCCAGCAACAGCTGATGAGCCACAGGTTCCCTACCCCAGTGTCACAATTTGAACTCAAGGTTTTGCCAATTTCATGTCAGAGGACTGCTCAGCCCATTAAAAATTGCTGATCCAGAAACTGCAGCTTCTCCTGCTTGCCCTTTCCTTTGCTGGGTCCTTTGTTTCTTGCATACTTTGCAGGGTGCCTGGGGAACTCTTGGCTTCATTGTTACAGCAGGCTGGGGAAGGGTACCAGCAAGCAAACTATGTCGACCACAGCAAACTACGGCAAGTTCTTAAAGAAATGGGAGTGCCTGATCACCTAATCTGTCTCTTGAGAAATCTCTATGTGGGACAAGAAGGTGCAGTTAGAACTGGATATGGAACAACTGACTGGTTCAAAATTGGGAAAGGAGTACGGCAAGGCTGTATATTGTCTCCCTGCTTATTTAAATAATATGCAGAATTCATCATGCAAAAGGCTGGGCTGGATGAATCCCTAGCCGGAATTAAGATTGCCGAAAGAAATATCAACAACCTCAGATATGCAGATGACACAACCTTGATGGCAGAAAGTGAGGAGGAATTAAAGAACCTTTTAATGAGGGTGAAAGAGGAGAGCGGAAATATGGTTTGAAGCTCAACATCAAAAAAACGAAGATCATGGCCACTGGTCCCATCACCTCCTGGCAAATAGAAGGGGAAGAAATGGAGGCAGTGAGAGATTTTACTTTCTTGGGCTCCAGGATCACTGCAGATGGTGACAGCAGTCACGAAATTAAAAGACGCCTGCTTTTAATGACATTAAGCATTAAGCATGGTTTGTCATTAAGCAATGACAAACCTAGACAGCATCTTAAAAAGCAGAGACATCACCTTGCCAACAAAGGTCTGTATAGTTAAAGCCATGGTTTTCCCAGTAGTGATGTATGGAAGTGAGAGCTGGACCATAAAGAAGGCTGATCGCCGAAGAATTGATGCTTTTGAATTATGGTGCTGGAGGAGACTCTTGAGAGTCCCATGGACTGCAAGAAGATCAAACCTATCCATTCTGAAGGCAATCAGCCCTGAGTGCTCACTGGAAGGACAGATCATGAAGCTGAGGCTCCAAGACTTTGGCCACCTCATGAGAAGAGAAGACTCCCTGGAAAAGACCCTGATGTTGGAAAAGATGGAGGGCACAAGGAGAAGGGGACGACAGAGGACGAGATGGTTGGACACTGTTCTCAAAGCTACCAGCATGAGTTTGACCAAACTGCGGGAGGCAGTGGAAGACAGGCGTGCCTGGCGTGCTCTGGTCCAGGGGGTCACGAAGAGTCGGACACGACTAAATGACTAAACAACAACAACAACCAGCAAGCAAGACCAAGGTAAGAACAGGTAGGAGAAGCTACCTATGTGTGCCTTCAAGAACGGGTATTTTCAAAGCTACAATGCAACACAGCCTCCCCTTAGATTTAAAGCACATGGCTTCCCCCAAAGAGTTCTGGAAACTGCAGTTTACCCTTGCAGAACTATAAGTCCCAGCACCCTTAATGAACTACAGTTTCCAGGATTCTTGCATGGGATTCTTGTGCATTAAACGTATGGTGTAGATGTGACCTGAGGCTGCAGACTGACATCTTAGATGTTATGAACATCCTTTCTCTCTTTGCACAGAAGGTGCCGCTCAGTTTCCCCTGTGGCTGGGTCCCTCGATTTGACATGGAAGCCCAGTTCACATCCAGCTATGATGTTAAACACTCTCCTTGTTTCCTTATAAAGGTGGAGGACAGGGCAAGAGATAGAGATCTGGCTTGCTGGTCTCCTCCCCTTGGCTGCATAGAGACCCTCCCTACTTAGAACAAAGAGAGTCTTCACGCTGTATCACTCACCACGTCTGAGTACAACCGATTTGGGATGGTGGGCGTCTGTTGGTCGATGCAAACCACTTTCTTCATATCGTCAAAGCTGGGGTCAATTGGCACCATGTCAAAGAAAGGAGGCTTGTAATCTTCGACAATCCCTGCGATATGAAAACAGGGAGGGAGGGAGAGAGAGAGATGTTTGAGGTCAGGGTGTGCAGATCTATAGGGCATTCCATCCATATTGCTGTACACCAAACTGTCTAACTCATCTGCAAATGTGTGCAGTATGTACCTTGGTCTGCTGCAGGCCCCAAGCTAAACTTGAGAACGAGCAAGAAATGGCACACAGGGTGAGGATTTGCAGACAGAGGGATAAGGTAAAGGGACCCCTGACCTTAGGTCCAGTCGTGACCGAATCTGGGGTTGCGGCGCTCATCTTGCTTTATTGGCCGAGGGAGCTGGCGTACAGCTTCCGGGTCATGTGGCCAGCATGCCTAAGCCGCTTCTGGTGAAGCAGAGCAGCACACAGAAACGCCGTTTACCTTCCCACCGGAGCGGTACCTATTTATCTACTTGCGCTTTGACGTGCTTTTGAACTGCTAGGTTGGCAGGAGCAGGGACCGAGCAACGGGAACTCACCCCATCGCGGGGATTCGAACCGCCGACCTTCTGATCGGCAAGTCCTAGGCTCTGTGGTTTAACCCACAGCGCCACCCGTGTCCCTAGACAGAGGGATATGTTGATCCAAACAGAAGGTTCCATTTCCCTTTCACTTCTATGGGGAAATGGTCTGCAATCTGGCTGGGGGATACATGCAAAAGGAGTCTATCACACTAGACAATGGTGTCACTAGCGACACAGGACAGGTTTAGCTGTAGTTGCAGTGATGGTGTCTCTAAGTGAATCTCTTTACTTTCTCCCATATGAGAGAATGTTGCAAGGAAGGTACATTTCTGAAACTTGGTTGTGCAGTCTCCACTGACAATACTTCAGCAGGGGGTACAGAGATACAGTATACCTCTAGGGGCCCCTTGAAATATACATGACCTCACTGAAACCCCCCTCCCCCTTTCTGTCATCACCATATCAGCATGGAAAGCCTTAATCCACAAAAATACTCTTTACAGCGATGATGAGTGTTTCATCTGTCAGCGTATTAAGGATGCTAGTCAATTGTGCAGTTTTAAAACAATACGTTTGCTAATGTTGCCTGGGAAAAGTTATACCGAACCTATCTGGCTGCTGTTCCTTTCGGCGGCTGTCAAAAGTGTTTTGAGGAGCAAGTAAAGCGCTTCAAACCATTTCCTGTGTTAGGAAAACCCCGGCGAAGGTAGGAACTTGTGTCATGTTGATGGCCAAAGGCTTGCAGACTTTAAGGGGGGGGGGCAAAGCTTTAGCTCAGGGGTCAGCAACCTTTTTCAGCTGTGGGTTGGTCCACTGTCCCTCAGACCATGTGGGGGGCCGGAGTATATTTTGGAAAAAAAAAATATGAATGAATTCCTGTGCCCCACAAATAACCCAGAGATGCATTTTAAATAATAGGACACATTCTACGCATGTAAAAACACGCTGATTCCCGGACCCTCCGCGGGCCGGATTGAGAAGGTGATTGGGCCACATCCAGCCCAGAGGCCTTAGGTTGCCTACCCATGCTTTAGCAGCTCTTTATCCCAGCACTGCCCCACTCTGTGGGAATACACAAAGCATGCTATCAGCTCCACACAAATTCTGTTCGAAACATAAAGGGATCTGATAAAGTAGTAAGACCCTGAATGTTCTGATATGCCTGCGTTAAGTTTTTGGTGGCCATTATATTAGAGACAGTTAAAAGCATGTGACAGCAGCTTGTTTGTATCTTTCCACAGGCCATGGGGAGGCAAACTAAGGCCCGGGGGCTGGATCCGGTCCAATCACCTTCTAAATCTGGCCCGCGGACAGTTCGGAAACCAGTGTGTTTTTACATGAGTAGAATGTGTGCTTTTATTTAAAATGCATCTCTGGGTTATTTGTGGGGCATAGGAATTCGTTCATTATTTTTTTTTAATAGTCCGGTCCCCCACATGGTCTGAGGGACAGTGGACCGGCCCCCTGCTGGAAAAGTTTGCTGACCCCTGCGGCTGACTGGGGAACTGCCCCACAACCTCAGCCTGGCAGCGTCGGACAGGACCCACCTACCTGCATTTTTCTAACAAGCAGTGCAGAGGCTAGCAATGCCTGTCACATTCCTCCTCCTCCTCCGTCTCAATGTTGGTTCTTGTGGAACTCAGCAGAGAGAAGGAGGGGGGACGGGACTAGAATTAGGATGGCTTCACCTGTCATTGGCTTTGGCGCCACCTGCTGTTGGTCTCCATGCCTGCTGCCCTACCAGAAACAGCTGTGATTTTGTGAGATGATTTTCAAAGCTTGAAACACACAGGCAACGATTTGTGGGGAGCAGGGGTTCAAGCAGATATATTTTCTGTTGCTACCTGTGGCGCATGTACAGTATCATCAGGTATGTAGCGTTAATTTGAGAAAGAAGAGCCCATGCCCATTTTAGAAAGCACCAGGATCCCGTCTGCTCATAATTATCCTAAAGATGACCTTTCAGCCTTTCTGTTGACTGCTGCTCGTATGGAGATAGCCAGATGTTGGAAAACTGGTCAGGGGTTGAACATTGATTTTTGGTATAACAGAGTATGGTCAATAGCATTAGCTGAGAAACCAACATGCCAGGTGAGAGCGGCAAAGGGCAAGCACAACCAAATTCCTTTTATAACATATGGCAAATGTTTATTGAATACATAAATTGTTCAGACTGTGGCAGGAATCCACCCAGCACTCATGGGAAAATGTGGCATGATCTCTTAAAGGACCCCTGACCATTAGGTCCACTTGCGGCTGACTCTGTGATTGCGGTGCTCATCTCGCTTTATTGGCCGAGGGAGCCTGCGTACGTACAGCTTCCGAGTCCTGTGGCCAGCATGACTAAGCCGCTTCTGGTGAACCAGAGCAGCACACGGAAACGCCGTTTACCTTCCCACTGGAGTGGTACCTATCTATCTACTTGCACTTTGACGTGCTTTCGTACTGCTAGGTTGGCAGGAGCAGGGACCGAGCAACGGGAGCTCACCCCGTCGCGGGGATTCGAACCGCCAACCTTCTGATTGGCAAGTCCTAGGCTCTGTGGTTTAACCCACAGCGCCATCCGTGTCCCTGGCATGATCTCTTAAGAGTTCTTAAATGAAACTTTAACACATGGCATGATAAAAGTCTATAATTTTATCAGGACAACAATTGTTGTAACAATTGTTTTCTCAAAATCGATCTTCTGTACCATGAAAATAAATAAAAACAGTATTTGAATTTTTAAAAAGAAAGAGAGCATTAAGATCCTGAAGATGGCCTGAAAAGTTTATTCACAGATCAAGGGAAGCTGACATGCTCCAGCCTTGCACTGTGATCAGCTAGTCAGCACCCTCATTTTGCAATGCACTGACATTTTTGATGCTAGGATATCCGGAAATTTCAAAGCTATGGCAAGCAAGATAACTGCATGTTTTTGGCACATTGTAATCAATTCCATTCGTATTTTTCTGGTTTACTTAATACATTCAGTGGAACAGCATAGCCAGCATAAGATAATTGCCAATGAAGCTGAGGAGTTTGGCAAGAGAATACAGGAGGGGGAAAGGGCAATTTGTTCAAAAATGTCATAGCGCTGAAATCAGCACAAGAAGAAATGGCGAGATTGCCGAAGAACAGTCGTATTGTTGATGGCGCAAACCCATCACATTGATACATGCCCTATGAGCCAAACGTGTGTATGCCTCTCATTAAACACAATCAAGTGCATCCACCAGCCATGGTAATCTACGCTAGACTACTGCAATGTGCTTTCCATCATCATCATCATCATCATCATCATCATCATTTATTACTTATACCCTGCCCATCTGGCCGGGCCTCCCCAGCCACTCTGGGCAGCTTCCAACAGGATATTTGAAGACTTGAGTGGAAACATATACAGTTGTACCATGGTTCCATAATCCATTCTGGAAGACCGTTTGACTTACAAAAACATTCAAAAACCAAGGTGCGGCTTCTGATTGGCTGCAGGAGCTTCCTGCACTCAATCGGAAGCCGCATCGGACATTTGGGTTCCAAAGAATATTCAAAAACTGGAACACTCACTTCTGGGTTTTCGGTGGTCGGGAGCCAAAACGTACGAGTACCAAGGCGTTTGAGAACCAAGGTATGACTGTAGATGAAATTGGAACCATTAGGCTTTGAAATGGGCTGGGCTGTAGAGACCATATCTAATCTTTAAATAACTTCACTGGCTGTGGTTCCATTTCTGGGCACAATTAAAAGTCCTGGTGCTGATCTTAAAATCCCCAAATACCTTGGAACTTAGGTTCCCCTGAATGTTATCATCATCAGATACCCTTCTAGAGATGCCCAGCTGCCTGAAGTTAGGTGTGTGGTGACTGGAGAGAAAGAGCCTTTCATGAGTGGCACACCACATTTGGAAAATCTTTCCCAGGTAGAATTGCCCGATGCCACACACCTCACAACTTCCCAGTGCCGGGCAATGTTTTTATTTGCACAGGCATTCATAATAATAATAATAATTTTTATTTATACCCCGCCCTCCCCAGCCAAGGCCGGGCTCAGGGCAGCTAACAAGCAATAATAAAAACAAGTTGAATGAATACAACTTAAAAACAAGATTAAAATACAACATTAAAATATTGAAACAGTAAAATATTAAAATGTTAAAATGCAGCCTCATCACAGGAAGAGAAAGGAAAAAGAGGGGGAGGGAATCAAACTGGCTCCAAGCCAAAGGCCAGGTGGAACAACTCTGTCTTACAGGCCCTGCGGAAAGAAATCAGATCCTGCAGGGCCCTGGTCTCATGAGGCAGAGTGTTCCACCAGGCCGGAGCCAGTGTTGAAAAGGCCCTGGCTCTGGTTGAGGCTAATCTAACTTCCTTAGGGCCCGGGACCTCTAGGGTGTTGCTATTTATGGACCTTGAGGCTCTCTGTGGGACATACCGGGATAGGCGGTCCCGTAGGTACGAGGGTCCTAGGCGAAGCTGCATGCTCCCGGTGCAGTGTGTATAGGGGGGTGTGCGGCGCAAATCTGGGGGGCAGCTGCGATGGTACCGCCCTCCCCCATGGTGCCGGGGGCTGTATGCCCCCTGCCCCCCCGTTCCTCCGCCAGTGCAGGCATTCCAGCATATCAGCCAGCTGGTTTTAAAGTGGTGCCTCAGATTATTTCTGCTGTTTTTACAGTGGTACCTCGGGTTAAGAACTTAATTCATTCTGGAGGTCCATTCTTAACCTGAAACTGTTCTTAACCTGAAGCACCACTTTAGCTAATGGGGCCTCCCACTGCTGCTGTGCTGCTGGAGCACAATTTCTGTTCTCATCTTGAAGCAAATTTCTTAAACCGAGGTACTATTTCTGGGTTAGCGGAGTCTGTAACCTGAAGCGTCTGTAACCCGAGGTACCACTGTATTACTCTTTTGCATTATTTTAGATCTGGATGCAAAACTGTTCTGTAATTTGTGAGTTGCTCTTAAAGGTTGTTGGCCAAAGAGCAGCACCATAATTTTTGGACAGAGATTTACGTAAGATTTACAGAAATCCGGAGAGAACCTCTGTTGAGCAGGGCCTATACCATGACAGCCAATGTGAACCCTAACATGAAAAAAACCTTGCTGTATTCTTGATGGCCGGGTACAACATCACAGCTCAAGCCAATTTGCAGATGGGTGGATATTGAATATGTGGGCTAGCACCATTCTGATTACTTCATAATGTTGCTTTTTCAAGATGTGTTTCTGAGGTATTTATCTGAAATGCATGTTGGAAAAGCAGAGTTATGCAATAGTTTTGAGTGGTGTTTGATGGACAGGGGTGTAGAAAAGATACAGACAAATGGTAAACAGTGGCAGTAATGTTTCATGAGAATTCTAAGGTCCTTATCACCAGAATGCCTCTTAGTTCCAAAAACAAACACACACAATTTTGAGAACTACTAGCAGGGAAAAGGTCATAAAGGGCTCGTGCTACAGCAGTTGTAAAGAGCTGCTTTGAACTTTGCTGGGTGTAAGCTTGTCACAGTGATTGCTGATGGCACTGATATCTTAATCTTGTTCCTATATCACGGGGAAAACATGTCCATGTAATCTACTGCAGGCAGTGACAAATTGTGATATGAAGCCATGGAATCATCAATGGCTGGCGGGTGCAAAAGTACAGTCTTTTGCTATTTTCACACACCCTAGCCAAATTTGACAATACGGGTGGTTTGTTTGGCAACAGGAAATCCAGATCTGAAAAGCTAAGCAGTGGGGCATTTCTGGATTCCAAGAAAATGTCAGGCTATAGACCAGCACTTTCCAAACTGTGTGTTGTGACACATTAGTGCATGGGTGGCGCTGTGGGTAAAACCTCAGCGCCTAGGACTTGCCGATCGCATGGTCGGCGGTTCGAATCCCCGCGGCGGGGTGAGCTCCCACCGTTCGGTCCAGGCTCCTGCCCACCTAGCAGTTCGAAAGCACCCTTAAGTGCAAGTAGATAAATAGGTACCGCTTTATAGCGGGAAGGTAAACAGCGTTTTCGTGTGCTCCTCTGCTGCCGGATCGCCAGAGCAGCTTCGTCATGCTGGCCACGTGACCCGAAAGTGTCTGCGGACAGCACCGGCTCCCGGCCTCTAGAGTGAGATGAGCGCACAACCCTAGAGTCTGTCAAGACTGGCCCGTACGGGCAGGGGTACCTTTACCTTTACCTAGGCAAACTAAGGAGGGACGTGGGTGGCACTGTGGGTTAAACCACAGAGTCTAGGACTTGCCGATCAGAAGGTCGGCGGTTCGAATCCCCGTGACGGGGTGAGCTCCCATTGTTCGGTCCCTGCTCCTGCCAACCTAACAGTTTGAAAGCACATTAAAGTGCAAGTAGATAAATAGGTACTGCTCTGGCGGGAAGGTAAATGGCATTTCCGTGCGCTGCTCTGGTTTGCCAGAAGCGGCTTAATCATGCTGGCCACATGACCTGGAAGCTGTACGCCGGCTCCCTCGGCCAATAAAGTGAGATGAGCGCCGCAAACCCAGAGTTGGTCACGACTGGACCCAATGGTCAGGGGTCCCTTTACCTTTACCTACGCAAACTAAGGTCCACGGGCCGGATCAAACCCAATTGCCTTCTGGATCCGGCCCACGGACGGTCCGGGAATCGCCACGTGGATCACCAGTGCGTGTGCTCTTTCCCTCTCCCTCACATGGCGGCAGCAGTGGCAGCGCCTCCTCCCTCCCTCCTTCTGGCTTCTCCCTGCCCTGCCTAGAGGAGGAAGGGGGCTGAGCTTTGTTATTGCCAGCAGCAGCAGCACTTGAGCGGCTGCCATTTTAAGGAGCCCCTCTCCGGAGCCCTTTTGCGCGCCGCTCATCGTCCCTCCGCCACCGCCAGCCCCCACCGCTCGCAAGACACAGGTAAGCAGTCACCAGGGCTTGTGGTGCTCTTGCATCATCCCCCCCCCCAAATATATTCCGGCCCCCTACAAGGTCTGAGGGACAGTGGACCGGCCCCCTGCTGAAAAACTTTGCTGACCCCTGCATTAGTGTGTTGGCCACAGAGTGTAGGTGTGTCCTGTGAATGCTCCCCGCACTCCTCCCAGGGCTGAAAAAGGGTTAAATGTCCGTTTTGCTAGTAAAACTGAATTACTGCGTCGCGAAATGATGCATGTCTAAAAAAGTATGTCACCACCAACATGAAAAGTTTGGAAAGCTCTGCTATAGACTGACATATCCCAAGATATCTTTGGGTGGAAGAAGCCTGATTATCGTCTCCCAAAACAACTACAGTGGTACCTTGGGTTAAGAACTTAATTCGTTCTGGAGGTCTGTTCTTAACCTGAAACTGTTCATAACCTGAAGCACCACTTTAGCTAATGGGGCCTTCTGCTGCTGCCACGTGATTTCTGTTCTCATCCTGAAGCAAAGCTCTTAACCCGAGGTACTATTTCTGGGTTAGTGGAGTCTGTAACCTGAAGCGTATGTAACCCGAGGTACCACGGTACTCTATTCTGAATTTAAATATGGAAAGCGTAATGCTGGTGGTCAACAAAAGAGGTTTAAAGACTCTCTCAAGGCAAATCTAAAAAATGTAGTAGAAACACCGACAACTGGGAAACACTGGCTTGTGAGCGCTCCAGTTGGAGAACAGCCTTTTCCAAAGGTGTCATGGACTTTGAAGACGCTCGAACCCAGGACAAAAGGGAGAAACGTGCCAAGAGGAAGACACGCTTGGCAAACCCTCACCGTGATCAGCTCCCGCCCGGAAACCTATGTCGCCACTGTGGAAGGACGTGTGGATCCAGAATTGGCCTCCACAGTTACTTAAAGGTAAAAGGTAAAGGTACCCCTGCCCGTACGGGCCAGTCGTGTCCGACTCTAGGGTTGTGCGCCCATCTCACTTAAGAGGCCAGGGGCCAGCGCTGTCCGCAGACACTTCCGGGTCACGTGGCCAGCGTGACGAAGCTGCTCTGGCGAGCTGGCACCAGCGCAGCACACGGAAACGCTGTTTACCTTCCCGCTAGAAAGCGGTACCTATTTATCTACTTGCACTTTAGGGTGGGCAGGAGCTGGGACCGCAGACGAGAGCTCACCCTGCCGCGGGGATTCGAACCGCCGACCGTGCGATCGGCAAGCCCTAGGCGCTGAGGATTTACCCACAGCGCCACCCGCGTCCCTCCACAGTTACTTACGGACTCATTAACAAAACCGTATTTATGGAAGACAATCTTACTTGGCTACGATAAACGCCAAAGAAGAAGAAGACTCGCCTTTCTTTCTAAGCTTACAAAACCCCGTAACAAAAAAGGATTTGGTTGAGAACTCAGCAGGAAGTGTCGCCTGGGCCAATGGTCCTGCGAGGCTGACCAGGGTGCAGCTCCCCCGCCCCAAAGCTCAAACTAGTCTCCACCTCCGACAAGTTATTTTCAAGGGGTTGCCAACCAAATGGCAAGAGGCCATTGTTCCTAAAGCCTTGTGCCTTTGGCACCACCTGGTGGCCAAAATCTCCTCTCACCTAGAAGCTCTGGCAGCTGGTCTTTTGTTTGTTAATCCATTCCAATGCTAATTGGCTCCATATGTCTTTAGCACTGGAGACTTTAACCATTTGGGGCTCGCTGACATTGTGTTTTCTGGGTTTCTTAAATATTGATTGCCCCAAAGCCCAGCGAAATGTCGCACTGTGCCTTGTTATAACTAAAAAAAGAACTGTCAATGCTGTGGATGATCAGGCCCATCAAAACAGTAATCAAAGCAAGCAACGATTTCTCTATATTTTTTGTATAGGACTCCACATTTGGTAGAGATTGTGTGTGTTTCTGCTGGCATATGTGTGCAGGCATATAGTCACATTAGGCACTTAACAGTTAACAGGCATCCAATTAAGGTCGTGCACTGTGAATATAATAGGCTTATTAATGGGCAGTGCCTATTCCAAAAGAGAGATATAGGATTAGCCCGGCCAATCTGTGCTTTGACTAGGAGATTCTTTTTGCTTTTTAATTAACAAGTGTTTTCTTTTCAGCCTCTCATTTCTGGGGGCAGGTAGGGCTGAGAATTAGCAAACTGCTGCTTCACCTATAATAGAAATTCCCCACAGGGAAAGGTCAGGGTGAACCCTGGCTGACATCATTGTAAACTGAGAAGCATCCAAGCCACAGGAACAAGTTAACATCATGATTTCAGGACGCATAGTTCTGAATCTTGGACCTTAGTATCAGGCAGACTGTGCCTCCAATACCTTCTCTATGGGCAAGAGATTGGGATGGGTTTATTATTACTAATAATAAATAATGTAGCTCCTTTCTCTAAAGAGCTCAGGGCAGTGCACATGGGTCTCCCTCAACCCACAGTTTATTCTCATAACAACCTTGTGAAGTCTGTTAGGCTATGAAAAATGATTGGCCTAGGCTCATCTAAGATGCTTCCAGATGGGTTTTCTGAGTTGTACAAGATCTAGCTGTTATCTAGCACCTTCCAGTGCAATTAAGATACGAAAAATGATGGGAAATTGTGTTGTAAAGTGCAGAACAACAACCCCTAGCTGACAATGTTGTGTAACCACCACACAAATCTATCTGGAAGGATGCTCAATAAACAACCAGCCTAGAAGCTGCCCAAAATAACTTCCATGCCTGGGGGGGAGATCAGAACTCAGGTCTCCCCAGTCCTAACCCATCTCTCTCACCAGCAGCGCACTGTCTCTCATTTGGCATTCCCTTACTTTTTGACTCTGTTCTTCCCTGCATGAAGACTAAATAGCAGCTGCACCAAACCTCCGTCTACATCATTCCATTATTTACAGGGAACCTGCACGCACTGCAAAATTCAGGAAACCCTCCAAGTGTCCCTGTTTTCCAGGCACAGTAATGGATTTACGGAAGCCATCCAGGTTTCTGATTTGATCCTGGAATGTCCCACTTTTCCTTAGGACGTTAAAAGCAGAGACATCACCTTGCCGCCAAAGGTCTGTATAGTTAAAGCTATGGTTTTCCCAGTAGTGATGTATGGAAGTGAGAGCTGGACCATAAAGAAGGCTGATTGCCGAAGAATTGATGCTTTTGAATTATGGTGCTGGAGGAGACTCTTGAGAGTCCCATGGACCGCAAGCAGATCAAACCGATCCATTCTTAAGGAAATCAGCCCTGAGTGCTCACTGGAAGGACAGATCCTGGAGCTGAGGCTCCAATACTTTGGCCACCTCATGAGAAGAGAAGACTCACTGGAAAAGACCCTGATGTTGGGAAAGATGGAGGGCCCAAGGAGAAGGGGACGACAGAGGACGAGATGGTTGGACAGTGTTCTCGAAGCTACCAGCATGAGTTTGACCAAACTGCGGGAGGCAGTGGAAGACAGAAGTGCCTGGTGTGCTCTGGTCCATGGGGTCACAAAGAGTTGGACACGACTAAACAGCAAAACTTTCACTGGATAAATGTTGGAAGGTATGGAATAAATGTCCCTATTTCCTTCGGAGAAATGTCGGAGGGTATGAGAATTGCACCATTTTCACCCTGCAAAGTTCCCTAGCGAAGATCAGGTTCTGGCCTCTTTCCTACATGAATGCATACGGGGAGAAACAGGACAAGAAGCCGTTTCTCGGAGGCCTCTGCATCCTTATGAAGGCTTTGCTGCGATTCCCCTGCAGGATTGGCTGGGGGATAGCAGAAGTTCCATGGACGTGGCCCATTGCCAGACTGAGCTGCGATGCTGCTTGTTTCCTAATCAGAGCTGAACAAACAAAGTGCTGATTGAGTCTAATGGTCCCTTTAATCAGTAAGCCTGGCGCTGACACTAGATTACAGTGTTTATAATTTACAGCTAATCATTCGCGTGGAAAAGGAAAATAAAAGAGAAGCCTCCATCCAACTAGACCAGCCGAAAGCCTTCGCATTAACAAGCCTGATTAGTGATTATTCCTGCGCAGGGAGCCAAATGCAAAGGGAGATGGTGGTGTATAGCTGTCCTCCCCTTTGCATTCTCTGGCTGCAGCTGCTATTTTCAATCCTAAATTGACAATTTAGACAGGCTGTCTGTCTGAGATGTTACAGCAGGGTTGGGAAACTGGATCTAGCTAGGGGAGCCAGATCTTGATCTCCCTGACCCACCCACCTTTCAATCACATGCCAGCATGATTTGTGGGGGACAGACCTGTTTTTTGCCCGCATGGTTTGAAATAAAACCGTGCAGGAAAAGGCACAGCTTGCAAAATGCCAACATTCAGCTGATCATTGGAGATTGCAAAGCCGGGCGCACAGCACTCCACGTGACTCTGGCCAGGGACAGATGAAGACCCATAGAGCACACGAACCGGGTGCCCCTATGAGAAACCTGCAAGCAGGATTTAAGCACAACAGCATTCTCCACACCTCCGAGTCCCAGCCACTGATGTTCAGAGGCATGCTGCCTCCAACAGAGGAGAGAGGCAACGTACCAGAAGCCAAGCACTGCATAGAATGGTAAAATGCACATGGTCAATTGCTGTGGGATGGAGACAGAACTTTCCAGAGGTATTTGCTGGCAGGGGGGCGGGGCGAGTCCAGATGGGACTTCGGATGTCCTGGAGGAATCTAGACACATATAAAAAACCTTGCGAGAAAGCTTTAAAAAAACAAAAACACTTTGAAAAATATATTGAATGTCCCATAGCTCACTATTGCCGTGTAGTGTCACATTTGTGTAACGCACCTTACAACACGCTTAAAAGGTTTGATTTGCAGCTGTATAGCCGAGTCCCTGATCTAATAAGACAGCAGGGACTGTTACTGCTTTTGCTGATCTGATGTAAGCCACTCCGGGAGCCCTTTTGGTTAATGAACTGGTTAAAAATGCTTAAAATGTTTTTAGAGAAAAGCTTGGAAAACAAGCCACATGCTATGGCTTAGGACAAGGTTGAGGAGCCAGCAGTCCAACAACATATGGACAGCCACAGGTTTCCCATCTCTGGGCTAGGGAGTCAGAAAGAAGTCCTTTATGGCCATCGTAAAAAGAGTGGGATTGACAAAACAACTTCATTATATTTGAACCTTGAATTAATGGTCCCCTTACCGTTAACGACAGTTCTCCGGGCTATCTCCCAGAGGACGAGGCCATATGCCCAAATGTCGGTCCGCTTGAAGGATTCAAAGCGGTCCATTTGAATCTGTTCATCTAAAACTTCAGGCGCCATGTAACGTTTTGTGCCCACCCTTGGGTTGTTTCCAATGTCCAAGTAGTCGCTGCTCTGGGAATGCATGACTGCCAGACCTGAGGGAGAAACAGTGCCAATGGTTAGAAGAATGCTGGTCTATGATGGCAACCGATGAACCTGTTACAACATCCTGCCAACTTATGCTAAGACTAAAGCATATACTAGTAACTGAATTACTGTTTTAAGTCTGTCTGAACAAAGCTGCTGTACAGTGGTACCTCGGGTTAAGTACTTAATTCGTTCCAGAGGTCCGTTCTTAACCTGAAACGGTTCTTAACCTGAAGCACCACTTTAGCTAATGGGGCCTCCTGCTGCCGCCGCGCCGCCAGAGCCCGATTTCTGTTCTTATCCTGAAGCAAAGTTCTTAACCTGAAGCACTATTTCTGATTTAGCAGAGTGTGTAACCTGAAGTGTATGTAACCTGAAGCGTATGTAACCCGAGGTACCACTGTATTTGTTACTCATCAACAAGTATTCTGAGTGAGTAAATGTTATTTTCACATTTTACAAGACTGTTTGTGTGATTATTGTTTTAAGGGAGGGGGGGAATAGCAGGAGAATCCAGTCTGCCTTAAAGCACCCTGGATTGCTAAAAGGCTAAAACTAGCCTATCTAAGCTTCCCTTTTAAGCTGCAAAGGGACACACTCTGTTTTTTTAAAAAAATAATATTTATTCCAAATTTAAAATCACAGAAAAAAAGAAAAACCATACAGAGTACAAAGAAAACTTTGACCATAACAGAGCAAAAAATAAACAAGTAAAAACAACAAAAATATAGAATAAAAAGAGAACTTAACAAAAATATAAAAATGTATTAAGTTAAAAATAAAACAAAAGCAGGTTAAACCTTTACATATCCTTTTCCCTTTACTTATTTCCATTGACCTCCTCTCACCTCCCAATTTTGTATTCTAGTTCAAATCGTATTTCCAGCAAATCCCTCTAATCTTATTTTCATTTACGTATTTTAAAATTAAAGTAATATAATTAAACCTCCTCTATTTCATCAAATTCATCAACTCATCTTTACTTATTCCATTATATCGTATCTACCGAAACGACCTAATATTCTTTTTCCAACCTCCTTCTAACATTCTTTTATATTGCAATACTTTTGAAGATATATTTTGAATTTTTTCCAATCTTCTTCCATCGACCCTTCTCCCTGGTCTCAAATTCTGCCGGTCATCTCAGCCAGTTCCATATAGTCCACAAAGGGACACACTCTGCTGGACTCACAAACACGAGGAAGGATAATAGCCAATAAATATACCCTCACCTAGCAACTATTCACATCCCTACACGAAAACCACACCTCTCCATTCTGGCTTGGAGTGGCTGGCAGCACTGATGGAGGAAGGCAGGTGGGGGGTCTGTGGTGCGCACCGGGTATTAGCCATGACGGCAGGTGACATCGCCATGCCACCCCCCATGCTTGTGGCATGGGCAGCACCCCGGATGCTCGCTGCACGGGCGGCATGCCGCTAGGGTCGACACTGGCGCAGGTGGCAAACAGTGCCCCCCCACTCGCCGTGCTGGCAGCTAGCCCCATCCCATGGTGCTGGGGCACGTAGCTCCGCCCCTGGCTAGCAGCCCACCTGCCTGCCTTTCTGTGTGCCCACTTGTGTGTAATCACTTGGAAAGGGGACGCGGGTGGCGCTGTGGTCTAAACCACTGAGCATCTTGGGCTTGCCGATCAGAAGGTCGGCGGTTCCAATCCCTGTGACGGGTTGAGCTCCCGTTGCTCTGTCCCAGCTCCTGCCCACCTAGCAGTTGGAAAGCACACCAGTGCAAGTAGATAAATAGGTACCACTGCAGTGGGAAGATAAACAGCATTTCCATGCGCTCTGGTTTCTGTTGCGCCAGAAGCGGTTTAGTCATGCTGGCCACATGACTCGGAAAGCTGTCTGTGGACAAACGCCAGCTCCCTCGGCCTGAAAGCGAGATGAGCGCCGCAACCCCATAGTCGCCTTTGACTGGACTTAACCATCCAGGGGTCCTTTACCTTTACCTTTCTTTTTCATCACTTGGAAGATGCGGGAGCCAGACTTCCCCATGACTCTCTTCTTCCCCTCAAAAGCTTTCTAATTCCTTAAGCAGAGGTTGGACCAGCATTTCCAGTGCGCCACCTCAGCACCTGAAGTCTACTTACCCAGATCAGCGATGCAGCACTGCTTGTTGTTCTTGACTAAGATGTTCCTACTCTTTAGGTCCCGGTGAGCAATGGCTGGCTTGCCCTGGGTACCAAAGATCTCCACGTGGAGATGGAGGAGGCCGCAGATGATGGAGTTGGCAAAGAGCAGGCAGCTCTCCACATTCAGTGCTGTGTGCTGAAGGTAGTCGTAGAGGGAGCCGTGCTCATGGTAGTGGGTGATCAGCCACAGCTGGGTGCTGGAGTTCCTGGAGGTCATGTCGGAGGCAATGAATCCTGCGGTCGGTTGAAGGAGGGCAGAAATCAGGAGTGGGCATGAATGATCAAGGTGCTTCAGAAAGAAATGCAAAATGGCTGCCTGTTTTCCCCTAAGGAAATTTTAGGAGCGGGTTGTGAGAGTGAGGGGTATGTGAAATAAGAAGGATGGAGGAGAAAGGGAGAGAAGCAGGAAAAGGTGAAGCTAGGACAGGCATAGGCAAATTCGGCCCTCCAGATGTTTTGGGACTACAACTCCCATCACCCCTAGCTAACAGGACCAGTGGTCAGGGATGATGGGAGTTGTAGTCCCAGAACATATGGAGGGCCGAGTTTGCCTATGCCTGAGCTAGGATAACTAGGAAGGGATTGCAGACAAGAGTAAAAACTGAAGGAGGGGATTGGTGAACTGAGAATAGATGCTATGCTGTTGGACCCACAGCCCATTATCCTCAATACTCTGCTATGACTGGCAGTAGGCCTCAAACTCACTCTTCACGATTCCAAACAAAGGCATCTCCCAGGTTTGCTATCTGTGACTGCACAGAGGCAGAAGGAGGAGAAAATAAAGGAGATGTGAGGTAGGGATGGACAAATACTGCCGTTGCGGTTTTGCTTAGTTCTTCATTTTTCCCAATCTGGAGTTTTCAACATTTCCGTACTGGTTTGTGACCTCTATTTTCAAAAGCACCTATTAAAATTCACCAGGATTTTAGGGCTTATTTCTCCTAATATACAGATTTTTGTGGCAATTTTGCCCAATATATAGATTCTGCAAAGCACATTCATATTTTTCCCTAATACAATGCACTTCTGTATGTTATCTTCCCAAGCACACACATTTTTATGCACTTTGCCCTAGTATATTCATTTCTGTACACGTTACTTGGTTAGTGAAATGAATGGCAAAATTCAGAAATTGTAAATTTTGAAGACTTTATATACAGTGGTACCTTGGTTCTTGAATGTAATCCATTCCCGAAGTCTGTTTGACTTCTGAAACGTTCGAAAACCAAGGCGCGGCTTCCGAATGGCGCAGGTGCCCCGGAAACAATAGCCGACAGCTGCATCAGACATTTGGCTTCTGAAAAATGTTCAAAAGCCAAAACACTTACTTCCGGGTTTTCAGAGTTCGGGAGCTGAAATGTTTGAGTACCAAGGCATTCAAGAACCAAGGTTCCACTGTATATATATTTAGTGCTTTTTAAAAATAAAAGGTGTCAGAACTGCGCTCTGGCTAAAAAAAAAAAAGCATTGACAATACTGATTTATCTGTGCTGACATTTCTGGAAAAACTGCCCCATTTCTGCTCACCTAAGATGTTGTCATGCCTCAGCAGCACGGTGTTGTAGATCTCTGTCTCACGGAACCACGACTGCTCATCCCGGGACGAGAAGATCTTGACCGCCACATTTTCCCCATGCCACGTAGCACGCCACACCTCCCCATATCGTCCTTTGCCTGTTGGGGGTGGGGGTGACAGTTTTCACACGAGGTTTTGCTTACCTCTATCTAGGTTCATCATCCTGAGCTGGTGCATAAAAATACACTAAAGAATGTTAGCATACATCTTTCCTTTTACCCATTGTTGTCTTTTTAATTGTATATATTGCTTGTTTTATGTTGCTATGGCCGTTGGCTAATGCGAATAAAGTTTATCTATCTATCTATCATCTATCTATCATCTATCTATCTATCTTTCCTGTGCCACAGGCATCAGCCATTGAGATGCAGAATCCATTTTTGCCTGAGACGATGTGGGAATTGCCACCCAGGCAGAGGCGGAGCTAGCTGTTCCGGCACCTGGACTGGCACACATGCTGTGCGCATGGGGGCGGAGCCATGGGGGCGGGGCAAACGTCCCACGCAGGAGGGGTGAGTGTCCCAGAGGGGCACCGCAGCGAGCGTTCCAGGGGGTGAGCCCTTAGGGAGCCACGCCGCTTTGCCAGTAGCCTTCCTCCCTTCCCTCTTCCTTTTGACAGCTCGGGGGAGGCTTCCCCCCCTCAGGAAGCAGCCCAGGAGGGGGGGCGATGGCGCACCGCCCACCCGCGACTCCCAAGCCTCCCCTGAGCTGTCAAAATGAAGGGGGAAAGGCTGCGGGCAAAGCGGCGCAATTCTGCCCCTTTGCCCAATGGCTCGGGGTAGACTTGGGAGTTGCCGGTGGGTGGTGTGCCGAATGTCACCCCCCCTCAGTGATGACACCTGGACGGGGGCGCCCCTACCGCCCCCCGTCCTCCGCCTCTTCATGCATCTTAGAGATAGCAGAAAGCAGACGAGTCCTAAGCATGAGGCAAACATGGGGTAAAGGGACCCCTGACCATTAGGTCCAGTCGTGGCCGACTCTGGGGTTGCGGCGCTCATCTCGCTTTATTGGCTAAGGGAGCCAGCGTACAGCTTCTGGGTCATGTGGCCAGCATGACTAAACCGCATCTGGCAAACCAGAGCAGCGCATGGAAATGCTGTTTACCTTTCGGCCGGAGCGGTCCCTATTTATCTACTTGCACTTTGTGCTTTCGAACTGCTAGGTTGGCAGGAGCAGGGACCGAGCAACAGGAGCTCACCCCGTCACGGGGCAAGTCCTAGGCTCTGTGGTTTAACCCAAAGCGCCACCCGCGTAAAGGGTAATAATGGAGATCTCCCAAGCTGACCTGGTTTATGGTGATCTGCAAAACTGGCAACCTTTGCTTGTGTTAAACAATTTGGACAGTCCATTCCCCTAAAATACAGGTCTCCCACGGCGTGAAGAAAACCACAGGCCAGCACAAGGTGTGGTCATATCAACTGTGCTAATTGGATCTGGGCTTTGAGCATGGGATTTTCTGTCCCGAATCGAAAACTGAAGGGTGTCAGTTGCATAACTGAGCATGAGAGACAGACAACGTTTAGAAGATTCCTTATTGCTGTCAATACACATGTAATTTTTCCTCACTCAAAATGAGTGATGGATAAAGTGGTTACAGTTCAGTCACTGTAAAAAGCGTAGAAGCCCAATTCTGATGACAGCAACTCGTGTCTCTTCCCTGCAGTCCCTGGAATAGTTATTTGAACTGTTTTCAAAATGTTTGCTTAAAAAAAAAAACATCCTTGAACACATGAACAAATTAAGTTCACCTTTAAGGTAAGCATTTGAAGCCAAACTGGTGTTTGATTCATAGGTGTGTTTTGTCACAGAAATTTAAAAAAAAATAAAATAATAATAATAATAATAATAATAATAATAATAATAATAATATATTATTTTTACCCTGCCCATCTGGCTGGGTTTCCCCAGCCACTCTGGGTGGCTCCCAACAGAATAATAATAATAATTAGAAAGCGACAAAACATCAAACTTTAAAAACTTCCCTAAACAGGACTGAATGCACAATCTGCACAAAACACCATCTTTCTTGGGCTTGCTATTTGTGATGGCAATTCCACACAATGCTGAGCTAAGGAATGGCTCGAGAGACCAGAGTTTAGGAGAGAGCTGGAAAATATGATCCTGTTTTCACATGCGTTAGGAAGTTAGAAGAGGAGGTTAAGGGGTGATATGATAGCCATGTTCAAATATATAAAAGGATGTCACATAGAGGAGGGAGAAAGGTTGTTTTCTGCTGCTCCAGAGAAGCGGACACTGAGCAATGGATCCAAACTACAAGAAAGAAGATTCCACCTAAACATTAGGAAGAACTTCCTGACAGTAAGAGCTGTTCGACAGTGGAATTTGCTGCCAAGGAGTGTGGTGGAGTCTCCTTCTTTGGAGGTCTTTAAGCAGAGGCTTGACAACCATATGTCAGGAGTGCTCTGATGGTGTTTCCTGCTTGGCAGGGGGTTGGACTCGATGGCCCTTGTGGTCTCTTCCAACTCTATGATTCTAAGTTCTCGGTTGGTGACAATTTGCACACCGGGTTTCTTGCTGCTTACCAACACATTCAACCAGGCTGATCTGCCGAGCCACAGTTCTTTGAACGAGGAAGGGGAGCCCAGAGCCGCTCCCGGTGGTGCAGTCATCGTTCAGCAGGTTCTAAATGCAATTTGAAACAAGCGGTGACACACAGAGGAAAGGCAAGCGAGACACACTTCAGGGAAATGGCAACAGCTAACAAGGATCTACCAAGCTGTATTCAATGCACTTTTGTCACAGAACCCCCCTGAGATCTACGGCTGAAATTGAAAAAAGAATCAAATAATCAGAATCAGAATAATGAGAATCATTTCAGTGCTTTCAACATCTGCCTTTCTCTGTGACGTCATACACTCTGTGGCAGTTGGTATAGTTATGGCAGTTAGTTGAACAGTCCTAACAGTTAGAGCAGCAAGTTTGTTGCTGCCTGCCTCAGAGCCAGAGTACCATTCGGTGTGTAAATGTTAGTTAGTCTTAGATGCAAATCTACATAAGATATTTTAGCAACTTAAGTATCACCTACCTGAATTGTATATCTAATCTGCCAGTGCAAGTACATCAAGTCATATGTTATTTAAATTTTAAAAGAGAGTGTCTTGCATAGTTTTTATAGGTGGGAAAGAGAGAATTAAAGCGTCAAACCACCGAGGGCTGCCTTTTCAAAAACAATTTTTAATTGATTTTTAAACAAATGCAATAACCATTAAATGTCCAGCTGTAAATCTAATGGTGTTTGGTTGTCTCTAGACATAGACTTCACATTCAAGAAACATATTACTTTATGTAACCTGTCCACTGAGAACATTGAGTGGTTGTGTAGCCTTATGAGGCTTTGCCCTCGGGTGGGAAAAATATTGCGCCTGGGAAAGGGAAGTGGGAGTCAACAGACACTCAAGGAATAGTTTCGGAGAAAAGGCTTTTATTTCTACCATCCATGAACTGGTAGAAGGAGCAAGTGTGATAAGTCACAAAAAGCATGCACGAAGTTCACAGTCACGTGCACAAGCATATATACCCATTTCCAGTTCCCTCCCCCTTTCTCCTCCCTCAGGAGTTCCTCTGAGCATGAACAGAAAGCTGTCTTGGGACTATTGTGGACTCTTGGCACCCTCCCCAGGAAAGGGGGGGGGTGAGAAGCCAAGGGGTTTTCAGCATGTTCAGATATGTTTCAATCTCTTGTTCTGGCATGGTTCCCGGACAGAAAGTAAGTTGCAATGTGGTTCTTTAGCAAGGCCAGAAGACATGAGAAAGGCCTGAGAAACAATGGACTGTTCTCTACCTTTGTTACAGCAGAGCGGAATGTTTCTGATGCTTAGCTGCTGAGAAAATGATTTTGAAAAGTTTTGAGAAGCTTTGAGCCTGCTTTGGTGGGGGATGACTTTGGGCCTAGATGAGGTCACCTGTCCTCACCTTCCTTCAGTTGGTATAAGAAGGTCTTGATTTTGGTTAAAGAAAGGGGTCCACATTTCTTGGAAGGTGTCTCTATTTGTTATGCCTTTAATTGCCTTCCTGAGTGGGACCCAGGGCTGTCTTCTGCAAAACTCTGCTAAATGGGAACTAAATTCCCACAGGAAAAGCAGGATGAGGGGAAAAGTCACAGGCCCATGCAGCAATAGATTGCCCGCACTCTGAGCAGGTGGTCTACCTGCCATTTAACTTTCTAATAATAATAATAATAATAATAATAATAATTTATTATTTATACTCCGCCCATCTGGCTGGTGTCGCACATTAAAAACTTCCCTAAACAGGGCTTCTGTTCCGAATGTCAGGTAGTTGTTTATCTCTTTGACATCTGATAGGAGGGCGTTCCACAGGGCGGGTGCCACTACCGAGAAGGCCCTCTGCCTAGTTCCCTGTAGCTTTGCTTCTCGCAATGAGGGAACTGCCAGAAGGCCCTTGGCGCTGGACCTCAGCGTCCGGGCAGAACGATGGGGGTGGAGATGCTCCTTCAGATATACTGGACCGAGGCCGTTTAGGGCTTTAAAGGTCAACACCAACACTTTGAACTGTGCTCGGAAACGTACTGGGAGCCAATGTAGGTCTTTCAAGACCGGTGTTATGTGGTCTCGGCGGCCGCCCCCAGTCACCAGTCTAGCTGCCGCATTCTGGATTAGTTGTAGTTTCCGGGTCACCTTCAAAGGTACTCCCACATAGAGCATATTGCAGTAGTCCAAGTGGGAGATAACTAGAGCATGCACCACTCTGGCGAGACAGTCCGCGGGCAGGTAGGGTCTCAGCCTGCGTACCAGGTGGAGCTGGTAGACAGCTGCCCTGGACACAGAATTGACCTGCGCCTGCATGGACAGCTGTGAGTCCAAAATGACTCCCAGGCTGCGCACCTGGTCCTTCAGGGGCACAGTTACCCCATTTAGGACTTTTGAGGGAATCAATTCCAGGGTCATTGTGGGAATCTTAAACGGCCGCTGTTCCCAGCTATACCCGGCACAGATCAGAGCACCAGGCATTTATTTTTGAAGGAGGGTCCATCAGTGAGAGGACCTGCTGGAAAGTTTGGGCTCAAGGGATTCTTCCCTAAGGATTCTGGGAGCTGTTGGCACCGATCCTGGTTTGAAGCACAGCTAGGAAGCTCAAACCAAAACTTTTCACCAGCCCACCACCAGCAGTGAAGCGAGTTTCTGGGAGATCACAGAAGCTCAAGGGACTTCAGGTGAGCTTGCAGTCCAATGCCAGGTGGGACAGAGGTGCTATTACAGTGGTTCCTTGGGTTACAGACGCTTCAGGTTACAGACTCCGCTAACCCAGAAATATTACCTCGGGGTTAAGACCTTTGCTTCAGGATAAGAACAGAAATCGCGCGGCGGCGGCGCGGTGGCAGCAGGAGGCCCCATTAGCTAAAGTGGTGCTTCAGGTTAAGAACAGTTTCAGGTTAAGAACGGACCTCTGGAACGAATTAAGTTCTTAACCCGAGGTACCACTGTACTGAGTACAGTGGGTGCTCGGGCTGCGAACGTGATCTGTGAGGGAGGCATGTTCGCAACCTGCAGCGTTCGCAACCTGCAGCGGCGCGTCTGCGCATGCACAAAGAGCAATTTAGCGCTTCTGCGCATGCGCGACTGCCGAAACTCGTTCTGGTACTTCCGGGTTTTGACGTGTCCGTAACCTGAAAAAACGCAACCTGAAGTGTCTGTAACCCGAGGTATGACTGTACTTACTTTTAAGGTACTGTCACCAAGCGTGGATGCCTTCAGTATGAAATCCATGTCTTCCAGATCATCGGACCTCAACCGTATCCGTGTCTGCCAGTTCTGGAACACCTTCCACACAAACAGCCCCACCAATGCAGCGAGAACCAGAAAAGCGAAGAGGGGGACCAGGGTCATCAGGAGAAGGTTCTTAAGAGAAGGACTCTCTTCTTCAGGCTGATTTTCTTCACCTGGTTGGAAAGAAAGGAAATGAACTCGGTTATTGTCGCTTCTCTAATGGTGAGGAGTCCCCTTGGCATTGTCACTATTCATTTCTTAGTACAGAAAGTATTATTTTAAAACAATTTTTAAATTTGATTTTCTTTTCTCCTAACAAATATCCAATATCACTACAAAATATTCATTTTCCAATTTTCCCCCTTTCCCTTCCCTCAGCTTCCATTTCTGGTTTATTACATCAAATGATGCATTCTGCTGTTTGTTTATAATACTGTGTTATCATATTCTTATACTTCTTGTCCTCTATAAATAAAATGGTAAATGTTTATTTAAATCCTGCCAATGAGACTTCCGGGGTGGCGCCTCCGGAAAATGGCGGAATTCCCTTCGGACTGAAGGGAACCCGCTGCACGGAGGCTTGGGTCCTGCCGCTACGGCGCAGCGGGGACCCGCAAAAACCACAGGCGGAAGAAGCCTGAGGACGTGGGACTCGGCGGGCACCGAGAGCGCTCTCTCCCAGTGCAGGAGCCCGGCAACGGGCCCGGAGTGGGAGGTGCGTGGTGCTGTGAGTCGTCTGCTTCCTCCGTGCAGCAAAGCCGCACTGCCGTTATCGGAGAGCGCTGCCTTTTTCCTGGACAATTTGGCATCTAAAATATCTATCCGTGAGTACCTGATCTTGGAAGAGTTGAACCACTTTTAAGACTGGTGAATAAACAAATAATATTGGACTTGAAATTGAACTTAATTGGGACTCGGAATGGGAAGGTCTAAACAGGAAGTCGCCTTCCGTTCTTTTGTTATGTGAAGAAAGCAAAGACAAAATATACTAAAGCTTGAAAATTAAATTCTAAGAGAACTAGAATTCAACATCTAAGATTTCTGAACCCCCTTTGACTGCAGGAGAAGAAGGGGGTTGTATTTGGACTTTTCAATCCTGCGGAAGTGAGTTTAAAATAAAGCAATTTTCCACCGCCCTGAACCAGGAGCGGGCTGTCAGAATTGACGTTCTGAAGTTTATCCAGCTCGACAGTTAGTTAAAAGAAGGGTAACATTTTGATTCTACTGTTGCCTCTTGAATTTGGAAGGGGGAATTTTGGATAAAGTGTTTCTGGAAAAAGAAAGATTGTTGCTGTTGCTTTTATTCCTTTAAAAAAAAAAATCCATCTAGTGGAATTTAGTGAAATTGCAACGCAGAGAGATTAAAAGAGAAGGACTATTGGACTATTCTCGTGGGAAAGAATTTTCTTTGACCTTGAAGGACAATGCTAGTACAAAGGCTTGAACAATTGTTCCTGGAAGGTTTTTCAAAACTAAGTGCCCAGCTGGACCAGATGCGTCAGGAGACGACCTTGATGATGGAAGTTACCAGAGCACAGCAGCAAACAAATGAAATTCAGTTAAAGGCTATACAAGCATATGAACCTGCTGTAGTGACGGAGGCTTCAGAGATGGAGGGACCTTTGGACGGGCAAGATCAGCCTTTGAACTTGATAAATGAACTTGGGACAAACCAGATTCGGAAAGATGAAATGTGGTCAGATTTGGAAATGGGGGATGGATCGACCCCCTCCATGTGGTTATTTGGACCTTCCGAGTCTGGTGATGGGCTATCAGAGGATTGGAGTAGCTGAAGTCTCCAAGCTTTGTGGAAATTTGAAGTGGTATTATTTGCTGTCTGGCTTGGGCAATGGGTTTGGGATGGACTTGCTGCAAAGGGTCAAAAGCATTTTCTTGCTGGAGCATCCACGACTGGAAAGGAATCATCAACAAGAGTGGCGAAAGGGGCAAGAAAGAGACTTGAGGGCCTCGGATACGAGACAACCAGGTTAAGGAGCCGGATTATCGAGGTTAAAAGGACTGACAATCCCGGGTCCAGGGGAGGGAGGTTGGAAGCGGACTGGCCTGAATGTGACTTAATATTTTTTCTTTTTGTCGTGTTAATATTGGGAATGCTTACAAATGTTTGAAGGATGTTGAATGAAATTACATGGCTTAAGTAAGGATTGGTAAATGATTCGTAAAAAGGTAATGATGCAAGAATTTGGTAAATATTGAATATAAGCTATGAGTTTTAAAGTTTTTATATGACAAGAGGGAAAATAGAATAAGGAAACGTAATGACAGATTGTTATGAAAAACAGAAAGGATTTGCTGTAAAAATTAAAAATTAAGAAACAAAAGAGGGGAGGAGGAGGAAGTCTAGAAAGGAAGTCAATAGAGATTGTAAAGGACTTTATATTTTTGTTTTTCTGTTTCTCTTTTTTTTTCTCTTTGCGGCTGGGTTTTCTTTTCTTTTTTGTTTATGTACTATTTTTGTTTTTTGTACCTTAAATTTTTTTTGGAAATTTTTGTTGTTATTCTTTGAAAATTCAATAAATATCAATTATAAAAAAAAAATAAATCCTGCCAATGAGTCCATTTTTGTTGTTGTTTCTGCAAATACATTGTAAAGGGCTCCCATTCTTTTTCAAAATCACTATTGTCCTTTTCACGCAGTTTGTCCGTTAACTTTGCTAACTCTGCATAGTTCATCAACTTTTCTTGCCCTTGTTCTTTTGACGGTACTTCTCTGGTCTTCTAAAGGTAAAGGTAAAGGGACCCCTGACCGTTAGGTCCAGTCGTGGCCGACACTGGGGTTGCGCACTCATCTCGCTTTATTGGCCGAGGGAGCCGGCGTACAGCTTCCGGGTCATGTGGCCAGCATGACTGAGCCGCTTCTGGCGAACCAGAGCAGCGCACGGAAATGCCATTTACCTTCCTGCTGGAGTGGTACCTGTTTATCTACTTGCACTTCATGCTTTTGAAATGCTAGGTTGGCAGGAGCAGGGACTGAGCAACGGGAGCTCACGCCGTCGCGGGGATTCGAACCACCGACCTTCTGATCGGCAAGTCCTAGGCTCTGTGGTTTAACCCACAGCGCCACCTGCATCCCTTCTGGTTTTCTAGTTTTGTGCCATTAAAATTCTTGCTGGTGTTGTAACATACATAAATAATGTCCATTTTTCTTTCGGCAACTCTTGTCCTAAAATAGCTAACAAAAAAGATTCTGGCTTTTTAACAAACATTATTTTAAACATCCCCCCCCCCAATTCATTGTATAGGGTGAGTCCTTTAAAAGAGGCCCCGTGGATACAGTGTACACATGTTGCATGGGGCATCTTTTAAAAGACTAATTTCCCTTTAAAAAAATAATAATCTTGCAATCCAACCACATGTGGTAAAATGTACCTTCCCCTTGCTTACATCCTAGTACAGAAAGTATTGACCCGTTATGTAGAGATCTTTCCTATTCTGATTAGTTCAGGAATGTTCTAGGTTTATTTCTATGTGAGAGAAACAGGAAGAAGGTTTCTGATGTTTTGGTTATTTCTCTGGGAAGGTGTACACAGCTGGTTTAAATTGGTTCTGTTAAGTTTCGGTCAAGGTTGTACTGACTATAATAGTAAGACCAGGAGGACCCTGGGTCTCACTCACTTTCTCTTTCTATCTCTTTGTTCTGGTGTTCTGTTCTGTATGCTTAGTGTTAAGGTTAAGTCTTATTATCAATTTTTAAGTTTTATTGTTTTTTGCTGCAACTGGATTTTTATGGACCGTGCCAATCCTGAATGTACTGGATTTGTGACCATTATGCTCATTTACCTTCAGTATCAGTAAAGTTCTGCTGGATGAAGTACAATTGCCTCTTTGTCTATTTTTTGGAAACTCTGCTATGTGTTTAAGTTTTTTTCCCTGCTCCCCACCTTCAATTGGTGACAGACATTCACTCCAATCAAATGGCAATCTAGCTACTACCTGTGGGATCTCCTACCTATGGGAGCTAATAATAATCCATAGCTGTCAACTTACAGATTTGAAAATAAGGGACCAGCAGCCAAAATAAGGGATTTTCCAAGCACAGATATGTTCAACTTCTGGGCTCCTCCGAGCCAAAGGCAGAAAGCCCAGCCAGCAGCCAAACGAAGCCTCAAGCGGTGGTTCCCACAGCACATGAACCCGGCAAAGGGGATGCAGCAAGGAAAACCACCGTCATCTCTCCGCTGGGAAGCGCTGAGCAAAGGCGAGTCCCCAGGCAACGCGGCCGATTTGATCAGCACAAGGCATGCAAGCTCCACCCCCCAGTCGTTCTTAGACTCCTTATTGGGTGAGCAACGCAGCCAAGCAACACAGTTGGAGCCTCCCTCCTCCCTGGCCGGCAGGGAGGGAGAGAGAGGAGCTGCTTCCTTTGAAACCCGGGAAATTTAAGGGACATCATCAACAGGGGACAGCAGCGGGACACAGCGCTGGAATAAGGGACTTTCCCGCCAAATAAGGGACGGTTGACAGCTATGTAATAATCCTCGAGGCTAGGTCCCTGCAAGAGAAAGCATAGCTGTACCTGGTAACTGGATGGTGCGATTCAAATTACACATGTCGGTTGAGCAACATATGATGGCAGTTTTTGTCGTGTGGGAGCCTCTGCAGAACTCAGACATGGATTGAAGGCATCCTTTCTTGTGGATCATTACCCCCTCAGTCAGATGCTTGCTCACAAAACACAGCTTCCCTGTACAAGTGCTATTGAGACAGTTTGGATGTTCACACACACAGTTCAGCAGATCTGCAGGAAGACAAAAGAAAGACAGCGTTTCCCCCTGATGTTTGAGCCTTTGATTCTTCCCTGCCCAGTAAGGATCATGGAGAAACGTGGTTCAGATTTTGCCACAAACCTACCTGATTTGTATTTTCCAAAACAAGATGTGCAAACTGAATCACAGCTAGCCTTTGAAATCTACACTTCTCTGAATTTGGGGGTGCTGTTCCCCAGCCAAATTACGTGTACAAAAACGTGAAAATTCAGGGAAAGTGTGCATAAAATGCATACACATTAGTAAAAATGGCATATGAAATACATTGGGAAGATTGCTTGCAAGAATGTGTAAAACAGGAAAACTTGAGTTCAAAAAGGCATCTATTAGGAGACATTTGCGCTAAAACAGTTACAGTGGTGCCTCGCAAGACGAAATTAATTCGTTCCGCGAGTTTTGTCGTCTTGTGATTTTTTCCGTCTTGCGAAGCACGGTGTCGGGAAAGTTTTGGAAAAGCTTCAAAAATCACCAAAGTCTTCAAAAACCTCAAAAAAGGCTACCACACCGCGTGCTATGAGTTGCTCCTCGAAGTCAAGTCGCAACTGTATTAACGGTTTTAAGAAAAAGGAAACAAACTTGCACGCCGTTTCCGTCTTGCGAAGCAAGCCCATAGGGAAATTCGTCTTGCGAAGCAACTCAAAAAACCAAAAACCCTTACGTTTTGCGAGTTTTCCGTCTTGCGAGGCATTTGTCTTGTGAGGTACCACTGTATGGTCTTTCAATTTAAAAATCACAAACTGATACAGAAATGTAAAATGGACTAGGGAAGTTTATAAACGAAATATGATTTATTTATGTAATGACAATTGACTTGAAATAAGCTGCTAGTTATGCAGCCATAATGCATAAGCTTTTTTTGGGGGGGGGGTGGAACTGATGTGGAAATGTGGAGAACACAACTTTAGACAGGAAAAATTACAAACTGGGAGCAACGTAAATTGACAGATGTGTTCAATCCTCCATATTCGGTGGCGGAGCTAGCTGTTCCTGCACCCAGAGTGGTGGGGCGGGGTGATCTTCCCGGGGGATGGGGTCTGTTCGGGGCACGGCAGTGTGATCCTCCTGGTGGGGGTCCAATGGCCTGGGACTCGGGCTCGGACTCGGAACCGGAGGAGTCTCGGTCCGCACTGGATTCTCTGCCTCAGGTGGCATCGGAACCAAGTCTGGGGCCTGATTCTGAAGAGCCCCAGTCTGCACAGGTTCCCCTGCAACAAGCATCAGCTGAGCCAAGTCAGGGGCCTGAGCCTGCCCTGGCTCCAGATGCAGAGATTACCTTGTTGCCTTCAGCTGGGCCATCACTTACAGCTGCTCCACTACCAGGGGAGGCTGAGGTGCCCCCTGGGTCTAGTAACCCACCGACATCTCCCGAGCTGCAGAGACTCAGGTCTGAGAGAAGGAGAGACCTGATTACTCGCAGGAGGAGTGCTCGCCTTTGGGCAAGACAGGGAGGTGAGTCACTGGGGGATCAGGACCGGCCGTTACTCTGTCCGAGATAAAAGGCTGCCGGACTTTGCCCCACGTTCAACATTGCTGCTTGCTGGAACCTGCCTGTTACCCTGTGCCTGAACTAGCCTGGTTTCCTGCCTAGGCCCTGTTGGACAGACACAGTGGTGCTATCCTCCGGGGGAGGTCCAATTGTGGCGTGGCAGTGCGATTTGCTCAGAGGGGATTTTGCCCCCCCCCCTGGGATGGCACCTGGGGCAGGTCGCCTCCACCGCACCTCCCTTCCTACGCCCCTGTCCATACTCCTAGCCCAACCAAAGAACACTACAGCCACAATATGCTCAGTATTCTGTTTTAAAGGTCCCGGAGGCAGGAACAATCGAAGTGATACATACTGTTATGTACTGAAGTTCTCACCCTGGGCCAGCAGGGGGATACTGTAGATAGTTATGCAAATAAGGGATCGAAAGTGACATTCAGTGATTGGATAGTTTTAGAAATTTGTTACAGTTATGTTGTAGTGGAGCTCTATATAAGCAGGCTGACTGAACCCTTCAGTTCAGTTCTATTCTGGCCTGTGAATAAACAAGAGCTGTTGAAGAATCGCTGTGTCGTCTGATATGTTCACCCACAACTTAACACATACAGTAGGACAAAGCACTTGATAGAGCACCCTTGCTAAAACTCAGAAAGTCTAGGTGTGATCGGTTTCCCCCCAGGTGAGACTGCAAGACCACCTGAGCACAGGGCTGGCTCTACTACATACTGTCCATCATCATACTTTCCCCAGCCCAGAGTGGCTGGGGAAACCCAGCCAGATGGGTGGGGTACAAATAATAAATTATTATTATTATTATTATTATTATTATTATTATTATTATTTCATTTCTCTGATGAAAATAAGGACAGGATGTTGAATATAAAATATGCTGACTTGGGGAGTATCCTGAGCAGCTGTAGCTACTCAGGCCACTGAGTAGCTAGTGGGGCCTAGTCCTGAAGCTAAGTGTCTCTAAGAAACAGCTGCCTCTTTGGCAAACAGCTGTTTTTGCAAGGGGGCCTGATGCCAAAATCTGTGCCTCTCCCCACTCTGCCTGACACAGTTGTCTCCCACTCACCTTTTCCTCCGGCCGCCTCGATGTTTCTTGGCAGGCTCATGATGGCCACGAAAAGGCCAGCGATAGCTCTTTGCCGCATTTTCTCTACAAAAAGGGCAGAATGAGTTAAGGAAGGGGATCATGGAAGAACATTTCAGACACATAGGATAACTGCATTTGTCTCACCAAAGATATGCTACATGGAGATTTATTCGTTTACCTATTTTTAAATGTATTCAATAATAATAATAATAATAATAATAATAATAATATATTTATACCCCGCCCATCTGGCTGGACTTCCCCAGCCACTCTGGGCAGCTTCCAAACAAATATTAAAATACAGTAATACATGAAACATTAAAAGCTTCCCTAAACAGGGCTGCCTTCAGATGTCTGCCCTAGAACATCTGGGGCATGGAACTGAACGAAGGGGAGGTGACCACAGTCTTAATCTCTCAGGACCTGGTGTGCGAAGTTGAGTGTTGTTGAACTGATGGGGAACACTGACCACAGAGTTATACAGTCGTACCTTGGATCCCAAACACCTTGCAAGGCGAACGTTTTGGCTCCCGAACACGGAAATGACTGTTCCAGTTTGCGAACTATTTTTGGTAGCCAAACGTCTGATGGGGCTTCTTCAGCTTCCAGTTGGCTGCAGGAGCTTCCTGCAGCCAATCAGAAGCTGCGCTTTGGTTTCCAAACGTTTTGGAAGTCAAATGGACTTCCGGAACGGATTCTGTTTGACTTCCAAGGTACGACTGCATACTTATAGATTTGGGGGTGGTACCCCCTAAATCCTAGAAATTAATAAATGGTAGGATTTTGATTATTTGGGATATGAAAGGAGAAAGACAAGGTGCAGAGGAATTCCTGAGCAAGCCTATGCAAAATGACCTGGCCAAGCTAGGACCATTACGAAAAAAATACAGGGCCTTTGAGAGCCACTAGCAATGCAAGAGAACTCTCCTTCCCCCTTGCCTTGAGGTGTGAACAGAGACTGGGAGTTTGGAAGGTTGGCAGGGTATGAGGTGACAGGACAAGAGAGTTTTTAGTGAGTGTTCTAGGAAGAAGGAAAAAGGAAGACCGGGCTCCATCTTGGGCAGGCTGGCTGAAGGCAGACTGCAGTGCTGTGGGGGACTAAAGGATGCCAGCACAGTTAACCAGAAGAATCAGGTCACTATTAGAAGCAAGAAGGCATCCTTCAGAGAACAGGATGTCTTGTCCAAATGAGAACAGCACTTCTCGTCGTTCATGTTTAGCACAAAGGTGTTGGGCAGGGAGCTATTCTGCAGGTAGGTCTGCAAAGAGAAGGCAGGCTTTTTGAGCAGCCACTGTCTTCTATTCACTGACTCTTCATGATAAAACCCTATCTGGAGATGATGGTGTGCTAAATTAGAAAACCTGCCCATCACATGGGGAGTGTTCTGAGCTGCAATTGTGGGTATACAGTCGTACCTTGGATCCCAAACATCTTGCAAGTCAAACGTTTTGGCTCCTAAATGCTGCGAACCGGTGTTCCGGTTTGCGAACGTTCTTTGGAACCCGAACGTCTGACCGGGCTTCCACGGCTTCTGATTGGCTGCAGGAGCTTCCTGCAGCCAATCGGAAGCTGCACCTTGGTTTGGGAAGTTGAACGGACTTCCGGAACGGATTCCGTTTGACTCCAGGTACCACTGTACTGGTTTTCACTTTTGTTGTTTTTAAAGGAGAGAAGAGTTTCTAATTTTGCTTCTTGGAAAGATCTGGCCTCAAAGGATGCTGAGTTCATCCTGCACTGTTGTGCGATTGGATTCTTTTTCATGCTACGCTGCCTGGCTGTGCTCCAAGCTGTCCCTTCTGTATCTCCATGAGCTGAGGCCAGCTGTTGATTTCAGGGACTCAGGGGTTTTGTCGCAGGCTTATCACTAACATAAAAATACTCTTTGCAGGAATCCAGAAATGTTCCAGCTGCTCCACTGAAGAGACAGGAGTGGGAAGGCGGTTGGGTGGGCTTTTCTGTTTTGTTTTTTTGGATTGCTTGTTTGTTCATTTCCTTGTGAAACAGAAACTCTTGCCAAACTAAACCCATGGGAGTCTTGACCTCACCCATGCCCCTTCCAATTCCTGCAAGCTTCCCCTTCGTCAATACAGGCAAAATTTGGGTCCTGAGAGTCTGAGACCGTTCTTGTCCTGCGTCGCCCACAAATTCCTAGCATAAACAAGTCACCACTCAGCTTCCTGCTATTCAAGAATTCCACTGTGTAGCCAGGGCGTTGCAGCCCGGACAGGAATCAAGATTGTTTAGATTCTGTCCTTGATGTTTGGGGGTGGAAAGGGAGATATGCAAGCAAAGGGAGTTCAACCAGTCTGCAAAGATCTATCAGAGAAAGGCATATGCTGCAGGGCTCCAGCCTAGGAAGAATAGAAACTCCCCCAGAACAGCTTGCTTTGTTTTTGCCGGTGGAGGGGAAGTTGAGGCTAAAGCTCAGAGAACATTGGCCTGTAAATAGTGATATCAGAAAGGAAGACTAAGATCAAGATCCTGTGCAGAGGGAATGTTGGCTCCTTGCAAATCAGAAGTCTGTATCGAGAGCTGGTCCTCCCCTCTCTTCTCTGGCACAACGCCCCCCCTTCTCATTTCCGTCTTTGGGCTCCTCCAGACAACCTGTTTACTGAGCATGCACCTTGATTTGCTTGCCCAAAGCATGCAGAGGTTAGATTGAGCATTTGTTCTGGTTTGTTTGCATGGAGGTTATACACATGGCTTTTTTCAGCCGGAGCTTGCAGGAACACAGTTCCGGCACCTCTCAGGTGGGCACCATTGCCATTATAACAGACCTTCCAAATGTCCCTATTTTCCAGGGACAGTCCCAGATTTACAAAAGCAGTCCTGGTTTCTGATTTGATCCCAGAATGTCCCGCTTTCCTTAGGCCAGGGGTGTCCAAACTTTTTTCAAAGAGGGCCAGATTTGATGAAGTGAACATGCGTGAGGGCCGACCAAAGTTGTTGACCTTTTTAGGATTGAAGTTGTTGAGTTTTGGGGGATTTAACCATAAAGTTGTTGAGCTTCTTTTAGGATTGAGGTTGCTGATCTTCTTTTAGGGTTAAAGTTGTAGAGGTTTTTTTTAGGATTTTACCCCAGGAAATAATCTGTCACAGGGGCTGGATTAAACCAACCAGTGGGCCAAATTAGACTCCGGAAACGGACTTTGCTCATGCCTGCCTTAAAGGTAAAAGTAAAGGGACCCCTGACCATTAGGTCCAGTCGTGGCCAACTCTGGGGTTGCGGCGCTCATCTCGCTTTATTGGCCGAGGGAGCCGGCGTACAGCTTCCAGGTCATGCGGCCAGCATGACTAAGCCGCTCCTGGAGAACCAGAGCAGCACACGGAAACGCCGTTTACCTTCCTGCCGGAGCAGTACCTATTTATCTACTTGCACTTTGATGTGCTTTCGAACTGCTAGGTTGGCAGGAGCAGGGACCGAGCAACGGGAGCTCACCCCGTCACGGGGATTCGAACAGCCGACCTTCTGATCAGCAAGCCCTAGGCTCTGTGGTTCAATCCACAGCGCCACCCACATCCCTCATGCCTGCCTTAGGCCATCCATATTTTCATCAGAGAAATGTTGGAGGGTGTGTTATAAGAGGACAAGGGTGGCATTCATGGTGAGTTCTGGCACCTCTTTTTCTTTAAAAAATAGCACCGGTTATACAACCATGAGCATTCATTTGATCTGCTTGCAACAGGACTGTTATATGCCTTCCATAACAATTAGTTCATTCCACACCTTTGAATGCATTTCTTCATCCCTCAAGTGTACCTCCAGACTGTGACTCTTTTTGCAAGATTCAGGTGCATACCAGAGCTTTGCACAGGCAATTATGGATTAAAGGGCTCTGTTTCCCCAGCACAACAAATCCACTTTAAAAGAGAACTGGGCTTTTTGCGGCCTGGAAAGTGTGGGAGGAACAAATGATTAATGTGAATGTATGTAAACATAAATCAGGATAAATACTCATTGTCGTACAACTGCCCCGCTGACAAATCAGACTGGATGCTCAAACATTTTCTGTCTATCATCTTTCCTCCCACTCTGTTCTCTATTTCTGCTCATTTTCATCCTCTTGGACAGCCCGACAGCTACAACACTTCAGCATTGCCTTTGCTCCAGCTGCTGAATCCCAGATTTTTCTGTCCGAGATGGGGAACCTTGTGACCTTGTCATTTCACAACTGGCCTGATCTCTAGTTCTCATAGACACTGTCTGCATCGAAGTCTCTGGAGGATGCGCCAAAGAGGCGCCTTCTTGTGTCTACTGCTCTCCAGATCCTTCTTGGATGAGATCAGGGAATCGTCAAATCGAGCATTTCTATAAATCAGCTCCATCGCAGCCCGTTTAAAAAGGTAAAGGACCCCTGGACAGTTAAGTCCAGTCAAAGGCGACTATGGGGTTGTGGCGTTCATCTTGCTTTCAGGCCGAGGGAGCCAGTGTTTGTCCACAGACAGCTTTCCGGGTCATGTGGCCAGCATGACTAAACCGCTTCCGGCACAACGCGATGCCATAACGGAAACCAGAGTGCACACGAATGCCGTTTACCTTCCCGATTTATCTACTTCAGTGGTGTCCAAACTTTTTTCAAAGAGGGCAAGATTTGATGAAGTGAAGGGCCAACCAAAGGGCCCACCAAATCCTTTTTTTTAGGATTGAAGTTGTTGAGTTTTTTATGATTTTACCCCAAAGTTGTTGAGCCTTTTTTAGGGTTTTTTACCCCAGGAAATAAACTGCCACAGGGGCTGGATTAAACCGACTGGCAGGCCTGATTAGGCCCCCAAAATGAACTTTGGACATGCCTGATCTACTTGCACTGGCCTGCTTTCAAGCTGCTACGTTGGCAGGAGCTGCGACAGAGCAATGGGAGCTCACTCAGTTGCAGCGATTCGAACCACTGACCTTCCGATCAGCAAGCCCAACAGGCTCCGTAGTTTAGACCACAGGGCCACTCGCATCTCTTTTACAGCCCATGTACAGAGGAGGAGACAAGTGAAAAGTTGTGTGCATACTGTTTTGCCCTCTGTCAAGCCAAAGGAAGCTACAGAGGAAACTTACCGCCACAAATTTTGTGGCAAATAACATATGGCTAGGGATGAAGAATCTGTCCATTTGGAGTCTTTAAGTTTCGCATTTTTCCAATCATAAATTCAATTCTCTCACTTTCCTGCAGCAATTTGTGATTTTTTTAAAGATAAAAATTGCTCGTGAAAAATTGTTAGTATTTCAATGTGAATTTCTCTTAATAACCACATATTTGTACACAGTTTTGACTAATACACACATTTTTGAAAGCAACTTCCCGTAAAAGGCATTTTTGTATGTTATTTTCACTCATATATTCATTTTACACACATTTCCCCCTAATATATATATTTTTGTATTCGTTGGTTGGCTAGAGAACTTCACTGTGAAATTTGGAGACATGCAGATTTTGAAAGATAGCTGTGTTTCGGTTTGCATATTGCTCCGAGAAGCACAGATTGGGTAGTTTCTCACTGAAAGGCAAACACAATTGAATTGCTTCTCCAGCTCTGCACATGTGCCCACAAAACGCATTGCCACAGCACATTCTGACAACCATCAAGTTTGGCTGTAACTCTGCCAATAAACCAACATTAGGGAAGTCAGCCTGTCTGTGCTTGTGTATGCGCTTTGAGCAGTCCTCACTTTGATCCACCCTTTCTGGAGTGGGGAAACATATAATGGAGCTGATGGCTTGCTATTACGTGCAAACCAGCATTTGCTATCTGATTCCTCCAACCATGCCATGTGAGCTGGAAAACAAGAACAAACCTTGCCTTCTGTTTGTGTTACATCTGGAGATAAAAACCAATGAGTGCTGGTTTCTAGCAGTCAGCCAGCCACTCTTAAGTTTGTTTCCCCACTCTAGAAAGGGAGGAGTAAAATGTGGACTGCCTGACCTGCACGTCCCAGTGTGTAGGTTGTGTGTAGAATAAGTTCCCTGACCATGATTTATGGCCAGCGCTTTATGTGGATGCAGCCAATGATGATGATGATGATGATGATGATGATGATAATAATAATAATTTATTTATACCCTGCCCATCTAGCTGGGCTTCCCCAGCCACTCTGGGCGGTTTCCAACAAAATATTAAAATACAGTAACGCATCAAACATTAAAAGCTTCCCTAAACAGGAATGAGTTCTGGTCCCAAACCAGGTGAAATCACATCTTATTCTTACAGTATCTTACTATGTAGTTCATGTTATTGAATGTGTTTTCTTCTCATTTACATATTATGTATCGAAACTTGAAAAATCAATAAGAATAATTGTTAAAATAAAGATATCTCATCCTGTAGCCTACTCTCCACAAATGATTGGTGGCAGCTCTTCATCCAGTCTCAAGTTAATTTTCCCGGACCAATCTGTGTGCAGCCAGGGAGCCGCCTAGCGTAAAATCAAGTGATGCTCAGAACCTGTCAACCTCAGGTATTGACTTCTGCAAATTCACCCTGAGGCAGAAGGGCGAGCAATAGCAATCTGGTACAAGTGGATAACAGGACTGCAGCATCTCTCTCTTTCTCTCCCCTTCCCTTTTCATGACATTAAATAAATATTTCTATTTATATAGCCACAAGGGCAAATGTTTACTGCACCTTCGGATTTGCCAATTAAAAGAACTTACTGTAATGTATTTATTTTTTCATTACATCTGCTTAATCATCCTAAGTTCTACTAACAAGCATGCTGTTGGCCACAAGCTGCCAGAACAAGGTCCAGGGCCTCTTCAGGGCTAACGCACTGGAAGGGGACCGTGCAGACTCTCCAGAAGTCAGGAAGTGGGATTTCCGTGCCCTGGCATGGGCGGTTCTTGCAGGAGGGGATAAAGGATGCCGTAGCTATGACAGCAAATATAATAATAGTGTATGCGTGTGCACTTAACAGCTTTTGAATGGATTGCCAAAGCATCACTTCAATGGTCTATCTATCTATCTATCTATCTAATAATCCCAGTCATCTATTGCATGCTAATGGGAACCGAATACCTGTATTTTTGGTCACTAGATCACTGCAGATGGTGACAGCAGCCACAAAATTAAAAGACGCCTGCTTCTTGGGAGAAAAGCAATGACAAACCTAGACAGCATCTTAAAAAGCAGAGACATCCGTATAGTTAAAGGTATGGTTTTCCCAGTAGTGATGTATGGAAGTGAGAGCTGGACTATAAAGAAGGCTGATCGCCGAAGAATTGATGCTTTTGAATTATGGTGCTGGAGGAGACTCTTGAGAGTCCCATGGACTGCAGGAAGATCAAACCTATCCATTCTTAAGGAAATCAGCCCTGAGTGCTCACTGGAAGGACAGATCCTGAAGCTGAGGCTCCAATACTTTGGCCACCTCATGAGAATAGAAGACTCCCTGGAAAAGACCCTGATGTTGGGAAAGATGGAGGGCACAAGGAGAAGGGGACGACAGAGGACGAGATGGTTGGATAGTGTTCTCGAAGCTACCAGCATGAGTTTGACCAAACTGCGGGAGGCAGTGGAAGACAGGAGTGCCTGTCGTGCTCTGGTCCATGGGGTCACGAAGAGTCGGACACGACTAAATGACTAAACAACAACAACAGACAAATGCATGGAGTATAGCTCTACCAATGGTTCTTCTTGGTCATGACAGGTAAATAAAGGTAAAGGTAAAGGTACCCCTGACCGTTAGGTCCAGTCGCGGATGACTCTGGGGTTGCGGCGCTCATCTCGCTTTATTGGCCGAAGGAGCCGGCGTACAGCTTCCGGGTCATGTGGCCAGCATGACTAAGCCGCTTCTGGAGAACCAGAGCAGCGCACAGAAACACTGTTTACCTCCCCGTTGGAGTGGTACCTATTTATCTACTTGCACTTGATGTGCTTTTGAACTGCTAGATGGGCAAGAGCTAGGACCAAGCAATAGGAGTTCACTCCGTCGCGGGTATTCGAACCACCGACCTTCCGATCGGCAAGCCCTAGGCTCTGTGGTTTGGGCCACAGCGCCACCCGCGTCCCTGACAGGTAAATGAACCCCCCTCCCAATTCAGTGTGCCTCTGAAGGCCAGTTGTTGGGAACAAAAGCAGGAGAGGGCCATTATTGCCCTCAAGCCCTGCCAGTGAGCTTTCCAGAGATATTTGGTTGGCCATTGCATGGGACGCAGGATACTGCACTAGAATGGCCCTTGTTCCAATTCAGCAGGGCTCATCGTACGGTCATCGTTTTTGACATTTAAAAACCCCTTAAATGACATGAAGCTGAGCAGGAAGTGGAACTGATTATACAAGTCGGAACTTGCTGCCAGTGCAGGATTTTGCTGCTGAATGGAACGGGTGCTAACATTTGGCATGTGCTGATGTGGTCACCTTCAGGGTGCACTGAAGCCACACACCAGAAAAAATGCAGCGGTCATTGCGGTTTGAGGCTTGTGAGCCGGCCGCATGGTGAAGCAATTCCACAGTTGCTCCACCGCAGGCAGAATTTGGCAGGTTTCCTCGTAAGCCACATTTCCTGCTTGCCAGCTTGCTTACGGGAACGGATCCCAATTTCCACACTCACAGGACCTCCTCTTTGTACCTTTGTCGCTGTTGGGATTCAGCCACATAGTGGATAATTCGGACGGCACAATGAAAGTTGACTTGGCACTCTTGTGTAACAAACAATCCCCACCCCCGCACATATCCAAACCCACGCCCAGATTTTGCTACAAGGAAAGTGATGGGAAAATGCACTAAAAAATGTGGGATGACACGTGCTCGACACAACATCATATAACCTCCCCACAAACAAATCAGAATGAACGCTACATGTTATGTACTGAGCTGAATCCTAGAACAATAGGATCCAGAATGCAGCAGTCTGATTGGTCCACAGGAGCCACCCAATCCAGCTCCAGGGGGAAGTGAATCAGTGACCTGATTGGCCTATAGGAGCAGCCTGGAATTAGCCAATCACACGGGGCCCATTGTGTAAATAATGTGTATGCTGTATATAGCTAGACGTTTTGGGGAAAGTTTCATTCATTGCTACTATGAGCTGAATAAAGAGCATGAGATTCACACTCAACTCCGAGTATATTTCCTTCTGGTGGTTCCCTTGCTGAGAGAAGCCAAGTTACAGGGAACCAGGCAGAGCGCCTTCTCGGTAGTGGCACCCGCCCTGTGGAACGCCCTCCCACCAGATGTCAAAGAGAAAAACAACTACCAGACTTTTAGAAGACATCTGACGGCAGCCCTGTTTAGGGAAGCTTTTAATGTTTAATAGATTATTGTATTTTAATATTCTGTTGGAAGCCACCCAGAGTGGCTGGGGTATAAATAATAAATTATTATTATTTTATTATTAACGGAAGTGGTGTGCGGTGTTGGCAAACCAAGTCAGCAATGCAGCCCCTGACCTGCCCCCGTGCTGCTGGGCTGGCTGCTTCTGCCCCCATCCCAATCTGTAATATGTCACGAGTATAATACTCGTTGCAGGATCTTTGTAAGGATTGCTGAGAAGATGATAAGAAGAAAAGTCCTCTATAAACGCCAAGTACGATTCTGTGGCTGGAAACCTCAAACGCATTTGTTGGTTCTGCTTTTTGAGGGCCAAAATAGTACTCATGACTTGGTTCCTTTTTTAAATTAAAAAAATAAATCCAGGGTGTGTGACTTCAAGGATGATATTTGGCCTTGTTTCAAGGTTTGGGGCTGGAGAATTTCCCACGGGTGCAGTCCTCCCTGCAATGACCAGCTATTTTTAAAAACCGAGTGCCTATGATGGAGTGAAGTGTACACAACTGGGTGACAGATTTGCAACCTAAAGTCACATCCGCACCATGCTTTTAAGGTGCTACGATGCCACGTTAAACAGTCATGGCTTCCCCCAACCAGTTCTGGGAGTTGTACAGTGGTGCCTCGCAAGACGAAATTAATTCGTTCCGCGAGTTTTGTCGTCTTGCGATTTTTGTCGTCTTGCGAAGCACGGTGTCGGGAAAGTTTTGGAAAAGCTTCAAAAATCACCAAAGTCTTTAAAAACCTCAAAAAGGCTACCACACCGCGTTCTATGAGTTGCTCCTCGAAGTCAAGTCGCAACTGTATTAACGGTGTTAAGAAAAAGGAAACAAACTTGCAAGACGTTTCCGTCTTGCGAAGCAAGCCCATAGGGAAAATCGTCTTGCGAAGCAGCTCAAAAAACGAAAAACCCTTTCGTCTAGCGAGTTTTCCGTCTTGCGAGGCATTCGTCTTGCGAGGTACCACTGTACTTGAGAGTTGTTGGAAGGCCCCTCTTCCGCTAACAGCGCTACAACTCGCGGAGTTTCCTGTGAAGAGGGATTTATTATTACACCAGCCACAGCTCTGGGAGGGAAATAGGGACCTCCTAACCATTTTCAGCATCCATAAAAGCTACCAGAGTTCTTTGGGGGAGAAGAAGACACAGCTGTTTAAAGTGGTATCATAGTGCCCTAAAAATGTAGGTGGCCTAAGAGGACACCTAGAGTTTACCTCACAGGTTAACAGGTTTAGAATTGCCCAAGAAAGATGTTAAATTATTTTTGTATGTCACAACTGCTGCTCAAATTTTACTAGCTAAGAAATGGAAAATGCAAGAAGTACCAACTGTGGAAGTATGGCAGATGAAGATGATGGTTTTTTGGAGCTAGGCGACCTGACCGGAAGAGTCCGTGACCAGAATGAGGAGGAGTACCAGGAAGAATGGAAGAAATTTAATGATTATTTAGTTAAATACGCTAAGTTAAATTAATTGGAAAAAGCTTGCAAGTACCAAATAGGCTTGATTTATATATGTAATGTGATGAATTAATATGTTTAATGCTGAATTGATAAGAAAGAAAGATGTTAAGTGATCAAGTTAAGATTACAAGAATTTTGATTTGGAAAACCGTTAAAATGATATACATTGAAATTCAACTAGGGAGATATGAGGAAGTCACTTAACAATGTTAACATGATTAGTCTTAAGGTTATGATTTATGTTTGTTTGTTTATTTGTTGGTGTGTTTGTGAAAATCAATAAAAAAATTTGGAAAAAAAAATAGAGTTTACCTCACAGGTATTGTCATTTCAGCCGGCTTCCTAATTTTTTTTTTACAAAATGCATGAAAATCTCACCACACATTTTAAAAGTACAGTGGTACCTCGGTTTAAGAACAGCGCTGTTCACAAACTATTCGGTTTATGAACTCCGCCAAACTGGAAGTAGCGTCCTGGTTTGTGAACTTTACCTCAGTCTAAGAACAGAATCCAAATGGTGGAAGGGCACCGGTGGCGGGAGGCCTCATTAGGAAAAGCACGCCCTGGTTTAAGAACAGTTTCGGTTTAAGAATGGACTTCCGGAAAGGATTAAGTTCGTAAACCGAGGTACCACTGAACATTTTTTACCCTTTTGAGTTGCGGAAAGCTGTGTTCCAGATGCTGTTGGCTCCAACTTCCATCATCCCTTGCCTTTGACTATACTGACTGTGGCTTATCCAAGTTCAACAACATCAGGCTCCCCATGTCTGGGCCGCACCGCAACACAACTCAGAAATCGGCACAATGAACTTTCATAATTCACTGTTGCGAGATGAGTGTATGTGTGTTTGCACTTACAATTCTACAGACACTCCAAATGTCTCCATTTTTCCCGGGACAGTCCCAGATTTACAGAAGCTGTCCCGGTTTCTGAGTTGATCCTGGAATGTCCCGCTTTTCCTTAGGATGTTTTCATCTGAGAAACGTTGGAGGGTATGGAGTTATGCAACCCCTGAGCCAAGGGCGATAATTAACTATACAACCATTAGAAGACATCTAAAGGCAGTCCTGTATACAGAAGTTTTTTTAACGTTTAATGTTTTATTATGTTTTTATATATCAAAAGCTGCCCAAAGTGGTCAGTCAGATGGTCGGGGTATAATTATTATTATTATTATTATTATTATTACTACTACTACTAGTAGTAGTAGTAGTAGTATTGAATAGGATGACCCTAATTTCATTGGAGAAATGTTGGATGTTTTATTCAGATTGCACTTCAAGGCAAGCCTACCTAAATTCTTATTTCCTGAAACAATACATAATCTGAAACATAATAATAATATAATAATAAAAAATTTTATTTATATCCCGCCCTCCCCAGCCGAAGCCGGGCTCAGGGCGGCTAACAACAATCAAATAATCTAACATTCTAAAAACATTTCATTATAAAAATTAATTAAAATCAAATTGATGGCAACCGTTAAGCAAAATTCTGTGCAGATTGCCAGAGGAGGGAGTCAGGCTGCGCTCTGACCAAAGGCCTGCAGGCCCTGCAGAAAGATGTCAAGTCCCGCAGGGCCCTGGTCTCTTGTGACAGAGTGTTCCACCGGATCGGAGCCACAGCTGAAAAGGCCCTGGCTCTAGTTGAGGCCAGCCTAACCTCTCTGTGGCCTGGGACCTTCAGGGTGTTTTTATTTGCAGACCGTAAGTTCCTCTGTGGGACATACCAGGAGAGGCGGTCCCGTAGGTACGAGGGTCCTAGGCCGTATAGGGCTTTAAAGGTTAAAACCAGCACCTTAAACCTGATCCTGTACTCCACCGGGAGCCAGTGCAGCTGGTATAGCACCGGATGAATGTGATAGCCATTCCTTTAAATCCACACTTTCCCAAATCTTACAATGCACTTCTCCAGCCTAGTAATGTGTACAAAAAAGCATATACTGAGGTAAAGTGTGCATGAAATGCATAAATTCGTGAAAATAGCACACAAAAATGCACAAATTAGTGAAATTACACACAAAAATGCATTACACTACACAAAATGGGTTTGTATATACTAGAGGGAAATTGTACAGCAAAGTGTGTGTATTAGGAGACAATCGCACTAAAATGCTGGTTAATTTTTATAGGGATTAAAAACAAGCTACAACCCCCCCTCCCCAACAACTCCTGAACTAATTTGGAAATGCGTAGAAGTGAACTTTACTCTAGAAAAATGAGCAGGTCAGAGAAACCGAAATTAACAGATTTTGCCCACTACTAATCTTGAGTCATATTCATAAATAGCAGCCAGGCGAGGCACTGATCTCAGTTATGCAATGAAACTTGGATGAACCAGCACCACCCTGGTTAGGCAATTAAAATAATATGCAGTACCCTAAAGACGGATGTCCAAGCAACAATTTACAAGGACCAAGAAACTAATTCGGAGCAGAGAGCTGTACAATTCTTCATATCCAGCACTGTCTCCTGCAAAATGATTGCTCCTAATTTTTTTTGCAGAAGGGTGAGTGCCATCCTGCATCACAGAGTTCCTCAGTTCCTGCTTACATTTTCTTTGCACAGGGAGGAGGAGCCTACAGAGAGGGTCAACCGGCTGGCAGCAAGAGGGAGAGAATCGCCAATCAGTAATGTCGAGATCCCAGGGTCTGTGGCAGCCAATTTTGTTGATAAGCAGCGCTGCAACTGCATAGGTCTGGACCTTAGATTTAATGGCATATACAGGAAGCAACTTACGTAGGGGTTATGTTCCAGAGATTGCATCTAAAGCCAAAACCGTGTATAGGTAAAGGTAAAGGGACCCCTGACCATTAGGTCCAGTCGTGACTGACTCGGGGGTTGCGGCGCTCATCTCGCTTTATTGGCCGAGGGAGCCGGCGTATAGCTTCCGGGTCATGTGGCCAGCATGACTAAGCCGCTTCTGGCGAACCAGAGCAGCGCACGGAAACGCCGTTTACCTTCCCGCTGGAGCGGTACCTATTTATCTACTTGCACTTTGACCTGCTTTCGAACTGCTAGGTTGGCAGGAGCTGGGACCGAGCAACAGGAGCTCACCCCGTCACAGGGATTCGAACCACCGACCTTCTGATCGGCAAGTCCTAGGCTCTGTGGTTTAACCCACAGCGCCACCCGCGTATAGTCAGGGCTTTTTTTCAGCAGGAACTCTCTGGAACTCAGTTCTGGCAACCTTTCAGATGGGCGCCATTGCCATTATTAGAGAACAAGAGAGGCGTTCATGGTGAGTTCCAGCACCTCTTTTTCTAGAAAAATAGCACTGCGTATAGCCAAACCCCATTTTTCCTGGAACCCTGTACCCTTTCTGCCCTCTTTTTAATTGTTTTACAAATTTTTGCCACACGCATAAAGCTAAATGCGCACAAGTTAAATGAATGCAAATTGTGGGCTTACTGCAATAGTTTTGCTCAGGTGGGAGTTTTATTTACTTATCTGAAAAATTTATATACCACTTAATTATAATCAACTCTAAGCAGGGTGCAAAAAGATAAAAACCAGATAAAACTATAAAACCAGAATTTTGTTAAAATGCTTGCTGGAATAGAAAAGCCTTCAATAGGCCTGATGTCATCTTTTGCTACTTTTACACTGCTAAACTTTTGTTTTGAGAAGCTGTGATGGCTAGGTACAAATAAACTGATCTGATCCAATGGCCTTACAGGGGCTCCCTTAGATAGGCATGTGTATTACTTTAGTTGTGAAGCACACAATTTACATTCCCACCCACCATTCCACACTTTACAAGGGTGTCTACATTCCTGATGTGTTGGACCAGATGCTTGTGTCTCTTCAGTTGTTCCTGGACTACAACTCTAATCAGCCCCAGTCAGCCTGGCCAGTGGTCGAGGAAAATGTGATTTGCAGAAATACTCTGAGCATCTTGCGATGCGTAGATGATATAAAACGAAAACTGCAGAATGGAATTATTATTTTACATAACCCAAAACCTAGATGAAGGGAAGTCAACTATTATTTGTTGTTAATTAATGTCTGTTTTTTGGTCTGTTTATGTTTTCTGTTTTGGTTGATGTTTTCTTTTTTCTTTGGTTTGTTTCTTTGTTTTTTTGTTTGGTTACTGAAAATTAATTAAAAGAATTTAAGAAGAAAGAAAGAAATACTCTGAGCATGTGCAGCTTTGCATTTTAGAAACTGACGTAAATCACGGCATAGTTTCTGTTGTCATGAACGGAAATAAAATGAGATTCGCTTTTGCTCGCAAAAGTTATGTGTACAGTATTAGGTAAAATTACATAAAGGTGTGACTATTAGGGCAAATCAGCACCGTGATGCTAACAAATTTTCGCAAACTTAAATAAATTCACAGACTGGTGTGGAGATTCAGAGCGCGGAACTTAAGGTAGGAAAACTGAGAGAAAGCAAAATGGATAGATTCATCTGTTCCTAGCTGGAACCAGACATTGGGGTGCAACCCTGTGCCTATGGATATGAGCCTTTGCCAAACAGCTGCAAAAGCAGAAGGGGGAGGATATGATTTGAAGTGGAAAAATGGGGCGGGGGGGGAGTGCTTAACCCTTACCCCACCCACTGCCATCCTCCTGCAACCTCCTCCTTTCAGCTCCGTTTTCCTGCAACATGGGACAAATTCAGCATCTCACTAAGGCAATTGTTTGATTGCCAGATGGAGCAATCCTCTTCTCCGTTCCCTGCATAATGTTCTGGTGGTTCTTCTGACTCCTTCCCTGCCCCCAGCCAATTTTAGGGGGGGTGCATGGGGGAGGAGAGGGGGGAATAGCCCCATTGTGCAGGTGGAAGCCTTTGAATAGGGCTTCCGCTTTTGAATCAACGACTCACATCTGCAGTGGTAGCTGACTTAACCTTTTCAGGAATCTGTAGCTTCCTCAGGAACCATTCATTTAGGAAATTAGAATTTCTCTATACTACCTGGATTAATAAAGTTGTATCCTGTGCTTTGTCAGGTTGCCCTTTCACTGTGTTCAAGAATGCCACACTAAATAGATTTTTAATGGACATGCCTATCAATTTCAGATGCAGACAGAGACAAAATCACTACAACACAGGGAGCCAGTGACCCTCTACGTGTTGTTGGACTCTCTACTGCCATGAGGCCCAGCTAGCATTGCCAATGGTCCAAGCCGATGTGTGTTGTTGTCTAAACACATCTGGAAGGCACAAGATTCTCCACCACTGCCATAAATCCTCTTACAGCTGCTCTTATACCTGAAGGAGCATCTCCACTCCCATCGTTCAGCCTGGGGTCCAGCTCCAAGGGCCTTCTGGAGGTTCCTTCACTGTGAGAAGTGAGGTTACAGGGAACCAGGCAGAGGGCCTTCTCAGTAGTGGCGCCCGCCCTGTGGAACACCCTCCCATCATATTTCAAGGAAATAAACATCTATCTAACTTTTAGAAGACATCTGTTTAGGGAAGTTTTTAATGTTTGATCTTTTATTGTGTTTTTAATATTCTATTGGGAGCCACCCAGAGTGGCTGGGGAAACCCAGGCAGATGGGCGGGGTATAAATAAATAAAAAAATCATAATTATTATTGTGGTCAGCTTTCACTGCCAGTGGTCTGGCAACCCCCCCCCCCCAGATTCCCACGATCCACAAATGAAATATTTCAACCCACCCCTGGAAACATCTGTTTCGATTTTGGTGCTGCTGTCTAGCATCGTCCTTGCGGCGTTTTTGCCCAAGGATTTCGCCATAATCCCCAGCTGAGCTGAGCTCAACAAGAGTCCAAGCAATGGCCAGTTGGTTTTGTGGAGGAGCTCAAGGGAGCTGGTCTGTCCTGCCTGAGAGCCAGGTTAGAAAAAACTGAAGATGCTAAATGCTGCTAGGAATTTGATTTCAGCAGTGATACGTTTCAATCTTTTCTCCATTCTTTTATGAGGGGCCTGGTGCCTAAAGATCGGATCTTAGAAATTCCTGTTTTGCTTGACAGCTTCTTTAAAAAAAAAATCCCCCCTCAAGTAAAAATGAAAATGTCAGAAACATTGAATCCAACTTACCCAGAAGTCTATGTAGGTGGAAGAGAGTGAAGCTTAGGCACGTCCTGTATCCTGTTGCCTTCCTGCTTTCAACGGGCCTCGGCTAAAAGTTTTCTTCGGTACCAAAGTCTGAAGTGTGTTTTTTAAAAACACCAGCAGATGCATGTATTTAGATCACCCTGGGCAGCTCCTCACCATTCTCGTATGCCTGGCCTGATACAGAATCATGGGTCTCCTTTCCGATGACCGTACGAACCTTCCTGAATTTTCCAACTTTAAAGGCGCAGCGTCCCCTGATTCAGTCTGAAGCTCCTTTCTGGCAAAGCGTATCCCAGGGAGGCCGGCGTATCGAAAGCAGGGTTGATTAAATGGGGAGCAGGAGCCAGGATTCTTTTCTACAGTCCCCTCTGCACTTTCCCTCTCGCTCTGAAAGCAGTGGTTTGGCAAGCTCTGGAGGTGGGAGAAGTTAAAAATGTTTCTTATTACTGCCTCTTCCTGCTTGGCTTTTCTCCACCACTCCCAGCTAATAAAGCATTTCCTATTGCAAAGCACAGATCTACACACACACACACACACACACACACACACACACACACAGTCCCTCCCTCCCTCTCTCCCCCCAGAACACAGTAGGGTCCTGTGCAATTATTCTTCATGATTTCCTATTTCTGACAACTAAGTGATTCTTCTGGCCTCACCTTACTCTGTTTCATTCCTCCAGCTGATCGGTTCCTTTTTTATCTGTTTTCGTTTTTAGAATGCAGTTGACTAATTTGGGGGGTGGGAGTGGGGGCTGTCAACCAAATCAGTCTCTATTTCACCGGTCTGGGCAGAAAGATTATGCCCTATTGCTGTCAGAACAGTGATCCAGCCAGCCACCAAAACCCACAGCTACAAGCTGTGGATGCCTTGGGCCAGCTGCCATCACCGAGTCTCTTAATCTGGAAGGACAGAGGTCTGTGGACCAGACAAGGCAGTGACCTTGAAGAGAGATCCTATGTTAGTTGAGAATTGGAGTGTACTTTGGACCCACAGAAAATGCACCACCATCTGGAGTTGCCTCTGTCCAGATTGTTCACCCACAATGCATCAGGTTCCACTCTGGCTCTGACAGTGTACCTCCAGATTTTGTCTTGGCTCTGTCCTCAGCCCAGTGGCCCTGTATTTTTGCAATCAAAAGCTCTCATTCCTTATTGACCAGCAGTACCACAGGCACTGGCATTTATCTGCTCTGGACATGGGATTGATAAGCGAATTTTGGCAATCCCTACCATTCTTTTTAAAGGACCAGTAGTACCAACCAGCCACATCTCATGACTGTTCTGCTTTCATAGCTTCGGTAATTTTGTGTAAGTCAACTCTGGAGACTAAATATAAAGCTGACCAACATTCTTCACTACGGGATGAATGTCAATGCCACACTGCAGCAACTCTTACAGAGCATTGATTGATTGATTGATTGATTGGTCGGTCGATTGATCGACTGCACTTCTAAGCCACCCTTACTCAATAAAGATCCCAGGGTGGTTCACAAATAAATAAAACAGGCCAACAACACACATGTAAAATTCGAAAACCTAAACCAAACACCCACAATTTCTAGCTGTGCAAACAGCTTTCAAAGGAGATTTCCAACGTGAAAGGGCTTTGAAAAAGCTACTATATATATAACCAGGACTGCAACAATTGGTTTTCAGTTCCCTCATCCAGTATTATGGGATGGTGTCCATTGGTCTTCTGTGAAGATGGGCACTTGGAAGAACACTTTTTGGACAAATTTAATCTATGCGTACTGTACCATTAATATGTGACCCTAAATTCTTTCACACTTACCTTTTATTAGGATGTAATCTCAGAGCCCCTGTCTATAATCTTCTCAAAGATTATAGAACAGGTGAAGATGAGGTCCCTGCACACTGGAGGCAGGTAAATGTCCCCATTTTCAAAAGGGGGAGGGAGAAGACCCATGTAACTAGCAACCTATCAGCTTGATGGTGATACCAGTATAGATCCTCAACAGTCTGTCTGTTAGCAATTAGAAAATGATGCAGTGATAGTAATAAACCCAGCATAGGTTTCGCAAAACCAAGTCATGCCAGATGAATCACATTTCCATTTTTTTGATAAGCTTGGGGGGTCAAGGCAATTCTGTGGATGGAGCTTTCAGTAAGGCTTTTGACAAAGTCCGCCATGATATTCTTGCAGAGGAGCTGGTAAAATGTGGTCTGGATGAGGTCATTTTTAGGTGGAGTTGTAGCTGGTTGACTGACTGAACCCAAAGACTGCTCACTAATAGTTCCTTGCCATCCTGGAAAAAAGTGGTAAGTGGGCTTGCGATACAATTCTGTCCTGGGCTATCGTTGTTCAACGTCTTTATAAACGACTTGGGCGACTAGCTAGTGCTGTTCTAGGCTGCATCAACAGAAATATAGTGTTCCGATAGTTTTGCTCTATTTTGCCTTGATCAAAATACACCTGGTGTACTGTGTCCAGTTCTGGGCAACACAGTTTAAAAAGGATGTTGACAGGATGTTGAACGTGTGCAGAGGGCAACCAAGATGATTAAGGGTCTGAAAACCAAGCTTTATGAGGAACAGTTAATGGAACTGAGTATGTTTAGCCTGGATAACAGTTTATGTATAAGAGGAGCCTGAGAGGAGATATGATAGCCACCTTCAAATATCTAAAGGGCTGTCACATGAAAGATGGAGCAAGCTTGTTTTCTCCAGTGTGCTGGTTTGCCATTTGACTGCACATTTATCTCAATAACTGGACTAGCATGTTCTGTTGTGTGCCGCTTGTATTAAATCAGTATATCCAGTGCTTTTTTTCCTAAAAAAATGTTTAGGGGTACTGTCCTTTTCCTACTCATATTGAAATACTGCCCCTCAATGAGGCCAAACTTAGATTCACAAAATGTTTGCGTTATGCGTACCCCTGCATCCCCCCCGAAAAAAGCACTGAGTATATCCGATACAAAATAAAGACCGTGTGCATATTTATTGGAATGTATGAGAGTCTGAGGTGGTTGTTGTTTTCAAACCATGTTCTGAAGTTGCTTTCAAATGTCGAAAAATTCAAATTTTGACAGAATGCAGAAAAAGGACAAATAGTCAATTTACGTAAGCTGCCAGTGACACGACAGGAGTGGAAATAAAAAGGCCAGAATGGAATAGTCCTCTGAAATGTCCTGCTATGAGAAGATGTGGGGACAGACCCTTTCCAGACACTGCAGAGTTATTTAAGAATAGGTTGCTAAACTCCCCTTATCCTGTTTCCCCAAATGTGTGGGTTGATACATATCAACTGAATTTACCAGAATGCGCTCAGTTTTTAAAGGGCTGTTTCATTATCTCAGCCAAAGACTTTTTGGATGGGAAAGAAAACTTCTTTGAGTCTGCATCCCTCAATTGGAAATAAACAGTTTTGATCTGATAAAAAGCAGGTCTGTTGCCATGCAGGCAGGAAAAGGAAGTTCCCTCCTTGCAGGAAATGTGTCTTGGAATACCTTTCGCTAATCGCTTTAGCCATCTTTCCTCCTTCTTGGAAATCTCAGCTGCCCACCCCTTCATAATGGAGTCTGTTGGTCCTGGTCTATTTCTGAATCCATCTTTCATTACTGCTCCTTTTAACAGTGGAAGTGCATTTTTCAGCACAACCTCGTGACATCCGTAGGTTTCCCCCCCCCCCTTTTAAAGAATTACGTTGTGCAAGATTTCTCTCTTTTCTGTCTCCCCACTACCTCACTTTTCATTCTTTTTAAGTGTAACCCCCCAGCACTCTAAAACCACACGAGAGAGAAGTGGAGTTGCTCTTTGTCAGATACCGACAGAAACTCATCTGTGAAGCTTCCTTTGGCAATGAGAAAGCTTTATCTGTTAAATTAGCAGCAATTAAAAGCATAGGAGCCATGTTGGGGGGAAAAGGCAGAAACTCTAAAGAGAGACAGCATTCAGATGTCATGAAGGCTCTGACTGGGTCATGAGGCATAAATCAGGAAAACTATGTAAATAAACACTCTGATTGCTTATTGGTACTGTATATACATATAATAAAACACTAATACGGGTTAGTCTAATGGAGTCGTGGCAAAGCGCAGGGAAACCATTCATTGAACCATGTGCTCCCTCAAGTTCATGGTGCCATCTTAAACACTTCAACTGTCATGGCTTCCCCCAAAGAATCATGGGAAATGTAGATTTTAAGCGTGCCGGGTATTGCAGCTCTGTGAGGGGTGTGTGCGTCTCCTAACAACTCTCAACAAACGAAAAATCTCAGTGTTATGTACTGAAGTTCTCACCCTGGGCCAGCAGGGGGATACTGTAGATAGTTTTCACTCAGGTCCACATATGCAAATAAGGAATTGAAAGTGACGTTCAGTGATTGGATAGTTACAGAAAGTGGTTACTGTTGCGTTCTAGTGGAGCTCTATATAAGCAGGCTGGCTGAACCCTTCAGTTCAGTTCTGTTCTGGGTCTGTGAATAAACAAGAGCTGTTTGAAGAATTGCTGTGTCATCTGATATGTTCACCCACAACTTAACACTCAGGATTCTTGAGGATAAGCTATGATGGTTAAAGAGATATAAGAGTGCTTTTAAAAGTATGGTTGTGACCTGTTATTAGGACTGCTCTGTATGATCTCTTGGGGTTGGTGTGTGTTGCTGTCTTTACTTTGTAAATAATTTTGCCCAGTATCCTTTGGGATTCCCAGATCTCAGAGGGTTCTTGTATCTAATTTCAAAGTGAACCACATGCGATTTCCCCCCCCGTTTCACTGCAGGATTTGGACAAACAAGCTTGGCGGGGTTTTTTTAATATATGAAAAGCTTTTCTTTTGTTCTCTTTGTAAAAGTTGTGCAGAATTAAAACAAATACTTCCCTGTCTGAGGCTATTCCCGTCACTGCAAATCCCTGATGGGAAGAGTTGAGTTTCCCTTGCAGTATATGGTATATGAGACTTGTAGACTCATAGGGTGGGAAGGGACACTGAGAAACATCTAGTCCAACCCACTGCAGTCGAGTGTGGATTTCATGCTCTTTATTCAGCTCATAGTAGTAAGAAATGCTAGTTCCCCCAAAATGTCTGCTTTATACACATTATTACACAATGGGCCCCACGTGATTGGCTAATTCCGGGATTCACCTGTAGGCCAAACAGGTTGCGGATTCCCTTCCACCTGGAGCTGGATTGGGTGGCTCCTGCAGACCAATCAGACTGCTGCATTCTGGATCCTATTGTTCTAGGACCAATCAGACTGCTGCAATTTGGATCCTATTCAACTCAGTACATAACAGGGGATATGCAGCTGTCCCTTACGGGAATTGAACCTGCAACCTTGGCATTACCAGCACCGTGCTCCAGTCAACTGAGCTATCCTGTTTATTTGTTTATTTGGATGGCAGACTTTAACCAACCCCTTCAAATAATGTTTTCCAGGGCGGCTTACATAAGAATCAATAATCCGCATTCTTAAATACAATGCAGTACAAATAACAACAGGATTAAAAGCAGCAAAACAAAAGCAGCAAAAGTTAAATTGCATTTTAACCTGTATTTCAAATTGGTTTTCTTTTATTTTCTCCCTCTCCTTTTCCCCTATTATGTTTTTACTGTGATTTTAATTTATTGGTGTTAGCCGCTGTCAGGGAACTGACATCAGAGCCAGAGGCGGAGGCTAGGCTCTCGAGTGATGCTGGAGAGGGGCCCAGCAGGGGGAGAGGTGGCTCACCAGCTGGGGAAAGAAATCAGAGTAACACCAGGGATAAAGGGGGGCAGATGGGGGAATCAGTGAGGGGGCTCCAGGACTCCTCGCTGGAGATCAGCGAGGAGAGCACGGGTCCCCCGCTACCCACACCCTCCCTGCACAGAAGACTTCCGCGCAGGGAGAGTAGGAGGAGACTTGGAGTCAAACAACTTTTATGCTGGAAAAGGTTTAAGAAACGCCCACTGACGGATTCTGCTAGCGACTGAACAGCCACGAAGTGCAGGGGCTGTCCAGACAGAAAAGGTTTAACAAGGCAACCTAGCCAGGAGTGGCACCAACTTACGCACAAGCAACCCCTACATTTATTACAGCAATCTGTCAGTCCTTGACGTTGCTTGTGCGCAGCGACAGGCAGGCAGCAGAATGAGCCAAACCGGAGAAGCAGGCGCCACGGAGGGAGCAGCTGGAGTGCAAAATCTGGTGGAGAGGAACCGAGATTTGGAACAGCATGTGGCTCTTCTCATGGCGCGGTTGGAAGAAAGGCGGGCTCACAATGCACAGGTCAGGACCACCCCCGTAGCAAGGAAGGTACCGGGACTGGTACACAAGTTTGGGGGGAAGCCACAGGACTACAATGCGTTCCGAACGGAAATAGAATACGCTTTGGAACTGCAGCATAAGGATTTTGCGGACGATGGGGAGAGGGTGGCATACATTGTCGGGCATCTGCAGGATGGGTCCAGGGAATGGATCAGGCCCCTAATGGCAACGCAAAATGCCGCCTTGAAGGACCTGGGGAAATTCTTACAGGCGATGGATGCGATGTATTCCAGTGATGTGCAGCAAAGTGTGACTCGGCGGGAACTGATGGGTTGTAAACAGGGGAACCAGTCAGTTAGAGACTACTGGTCGCGCTTTGCCATGTTAGTCCACTGGCTCGGGTGGGAATTGGACTCGGAACCCATTCAGATGTTGTTTGAGGAGGGGTTGTCCCCAACGGTGAAGGACGAGCTTTCCCGCGCGCCCCGCCCGCAGTCGATGGATCAGCTGACCAAGGCTGTGCTTGCGATTGGCGTAAGACAGGAAGAGCGGGCTCAGAAGAAGCGGGAAGGCAGAGGGGAACGTTGCCATGACTACCGCGTTCCTGAAATACCAAGGCAGCCTTCCCCACCGGCGGAGCCAATGGAAATTGATGGCGCGTGCGCGCGGGAGGTTTCAAACTCCAGTAAAGGTCACAAAAGGGAAGGAAAGGATTGGAAAACTAATAAGAAGTGTTTCCTCTGCCAGCGGCCAGGACATTTTGCCAGGGTCTGCCCTCAAAGAAAGGCCTGGCAAGGAATGGTGGGAGCTGCTGGAGGTGAGGAGGAGGGGAAAAAGGAGCAGGAGCAGGGAAACGCCAACGCTTGGCTGCCACTCAGCGGGCACAGCAGCCAGGCCAGCAACCAATAGAAGTGCCCCAGCCAGACCCCCCCAGAGCCGCCATAGCCATAGAAGTGGTGCTAGAACTCCCGAATGGGCACCCAGTCAAGGTGAAGGGGCTGTTGGATTCAGGCAGTTCCTGCAATTTCTTCAGCAAGGACTTCGCCCTAGAGCACCAGCTCCACCTGCTGCCCCTGGATTTCCCCTTGCAAGTGACCACCATTGACGGCAGGGAGCTTCTGGGAGGGGAAGTGACGCACCAGACCCCACCAATGAGAATGAGGGTTTCCAGGCACACGGAGACCATTGCCTTTCACGTAGCCACACTTGCAGGACCCCCAATAATATTAGGGATGAGCTGGCTGGCACTACATGATCCAGTAGTGGCATGGCATCAGCGGACGGTCACCTTTGGGTCAGCTTACTGCTTGGAACACTGTCTAGGGGGGGAAACCCCAAGGATGACCGTGGCCAGGGTGGCTGGGTTAGCGGTGGAGCCGAAAGGGGAGGTGCCACCACAATATGATGACCTGCAGGAGGTCTTCAGCGAGAAGGAGGCGGATAGACTACCCCTACGTAGACCCTTTGACTGCCAAATCAACTTGCTCCCAGGGGCTCAGCTGCCAGTGGGTAAACTGTATGCCATGTCGGACAGGGAGATGAAGGAGTTGCGGGAGTTTATTGACAAGAACCTGAAGAGGGGGTTCATAAGGGAATCAAAGGTGGTGGGGGGCAGTCCGGTGTTCTTTGTGGACAAAAAAGGGACTAACCAGCCCAGATTGGTCCTAGATTTTAGGGCGTTAAATTTGGTATCAGAACCCGTGACCTTCCCAATGCCCAGGATTGACGACATTTTAACACGGGTGAGGCAGGGAAAGATTTTTACCAAGCTGGACCTCAGGGGAGCATACAATTTGATTAGGATGAGGGAGGGGGACGAATGGAAGACCACAATGTTCACCCCCCTGGGGGCCTTTGAGTACTTAGTTATGCCATTTGGATTACAGTCGGGCTCCGCCTGTTTTCAAGCTTTCATGCACCACGTGTTGGGGTCCCTGCTGTACAAGAACTGCGTAGCCTTCTTGGACGACGTCTTAATCTATTCGGACAATGAGAAGCAACATGTCAGAGACGTCAGGGAAGTGCTAAAGAGACTGCAGAAGCACCAGTTGTGGGTCAAGCTGGAAAAATGTCAGTTTCACACCAGAGAAGTCGAGTTTCTGGGGTACAAGTTGTCAGACAAAGGCCTAGCTATGGACCCAAGCAAGGTGCAGGCGGTGCTGGAATGGAAGGCCCCCAAAACCCAGAAGGACGTGCAGAGGTTTCTAGGGTTCAGCAACTTCTACAGGAAGTTCATCAAGAACTTCGCCCACTTGACAGCGCCCATCACAGATTGTCTCAGTAGC